GTCGGTCTTCCTGTCGGCATGAAGAGCAGTAACCTACAGTTTATATACAGTTGAGGGTGGGCGGGGTTTGGTATTTGTATTTGTATTTATTTGATTTATTGTTTTTTAATATCCTGCTTGAATGGACATCACTTTGTGCTACAGTATGAAAAGTGCTTTAAAAATAAAGTTTGATTGATTGATAGAGTTTGTAAATAGTTGCTAACAGACACAGTCGGATCACAACTTATTGTCGTATATTCTATTTTACGAAAAATAACTCGGGCGTGGGCAAACTGCGTCTTGACATATCCGCCACTTTATTGAACTGCCCTCAACATAGATCCCCGCATCACGTGACCCCACACACACAATCCTATTGGTCTACTGTCTTACTGTAACGTAACCTGCGTAAACATTAACCCCTCATGTACTGTATTCAGATACACCACATCTCCCTTTTTTCAGAACATGTGAAACATTTTTTTTTCTTTTAAAGTACATCTTTTCAAGTCCCTCAAAACCTGTGAAGGAAAAACAAGGTTAAACAAATCCTGATAAACTCATACTCTTTCTATTACTTTCTTAACTTCTTAAATCTCATTTTCCAAACATAACATTTTCTCTAGTTAATATCTCCCCAGTAACACTGATACATTGGAAAACATTCTCAGGTCAGCATGAACATTTGAAAAGATATTTTTTTTTTTCTTTTTTTTTTTTTCACAATGAACATATTATTTTTTTTTTTCTCATCCACTTATAAGTCCAGTCTAGTGGGCTGTTTAATTGCTCTCCCAGACCTGGTTCTGGGGGTGGAAACCCCAGGAGAGGGAACAGGGGACCCTAAAGCAGGTGGTGTGTGACCCTGCTCTAGGACAGGCAGTGGCTCCTGTTGCTGCTGTCCAGCCTCATCTTGTGATGGAGACTGGAGTGGTATAAGATGCAGGCGGTTGCGCCTTACCACCCCGTGTGGCACATCCACAAGGTAAGATCTCGGTGAGGCGTGATTCTGGATCACCGTCCCTGATGTTTTTGTGTCAGTTATCCACACCTCCTGACCTGGTGACAGGCTACTGAGTGGCTTTGCACAATGTCGTCTGTTGAAGTTTGCGGCGTCTGACGTCCTCTTCTCCCTCTCTTTCTGGACCAGCATGCTGCGGTCGGGCAGTGCTGGGCATAGCTCCGAAGGATGTGTCGGCACTGTGGTGCGGAGACGTCGACCCATGAGCAACTGGGCCGGGCTGTATCCATTTTGAAGAGGTGTGGCTCTGTATGCGAGAAGAGCCATGTACGGGTCAGTTGCCTTCTTCAGAAGATTCTTCATTGTCTGTACAGCGCGCTCAGCTTCGCCGTTGCTCTGTGCGAATTTGGGGCTGCTGGTTAGGTGTTTGAACCCATTTGCTGTGGCGAAGGAAGCGAACGCCTGGCCGGAGAATTGAGGGCCGTTGTCAGACATGAGAATTTCCGGAATGCCATGCCTAGCAAATATTGATTTGAGATGGTTAATCACATCATTGCTTTTTGTGTGTGTCAGCAGGGCAATTTCGACGTTTTTCCCTCCAGTTCAAAAAGGTCAGCCCCCAGCTTTTGCCATGGGCGCTCGGGGCAGTCTGACGGCATGAGCGGCTCACTGTGATTGCGGCGCTCTTGTAGACATGTTCTGCATCTGAGCACCATCTCAGTGATTTGTTGTCCGAGCCCAGGCCACCACACAGTCTGACAGGCACGTGCTTTGCACTTCACGACTCCTTGATGGCCCTCGTGCAGTCTGTCCAGCACGTCGTTCCGCAAGGTTGCTGGAATGACTAGACGTGTGTCTTTCAGCAAAAGTCCATCTTGTACTGTGAGTGTAGCCCGCTCGGGCCAAAAGTGTTTCAGGTTCCTGCTTTGCGTGCTCTGGCCATCCGTCTGCACACATTTTCATGACACGAGAGCATACACTGTCAGCCTCCAGCTGTGCTTTGAGTGTGTCCATGAATGTGGGACTGACAGGTAAGTTGTTGACAATGCAGTCCACATAGATGTTCGTGCTCTCCATCAGCTCAGTGTCATTTGTAGTCATGTGTGTTTGTACGGGTGAACGTGACAACATGTCGGCCGTCCAAAGTGACTTTCCCGGAACATGTACAATGTCATAGGAGTAGCGCATGAGCCACATTCTAAAGCGCTGTATCCTCGGGGGCAAAAGGTCGAGTGCTTGTGCGCCTAGTAAGGACAGGAGCGGCTTATGGTCAGTCTCTAGGCAGAAGTGCTTTCCTAACAGGAAGTCCCGGAAGCGCTCACATGCCCAGGTTAGACCCAGGGCCTCCTTTTCGACTTGCGCGTAGCGTTGCTCTGTGGGTGATAGTGAACGGGATGCGTAAGCTACCGGCCTCCATTCGCTGTCCCATTTCTGGAGGAGCACGCCCCCCAGTCCATAAGATGAAGCGTCTGCCGATACTTTGGTGTCCCTGCTTGTGTCGTACATGGCCAGGACCGGTGGAGAGGTTAGTGCTTCTTTCAGCGCCCTGAAAGCCGCCGCCTGGTCAGCACCCCACAGCCAGCAGTTCTTCTTTGAGAGAAGGTCACAGAGAGCTTTGTCTTTCTCTGCCAGCTGGGGTATGAATTTTCCCACCTGGTTTACCATCCCCAGGAAGCTCCTCATCTCACTCATGTTCGTAGGCTCTTTCATGTCCCTGATGGCCTTTGTCTTTTCTGGATCGGGTCTGATGCCTGACGTGGTGATGACGTGCCCGAGGAAGACCACCTCACTCCTGGAGAGCTCGCATTTGTCCGTGTTCAAAGTCACCCCTGCTTGCTCGAGCTTTTTCAGCAGGGCGTGGAGACGAGCGTCGTGTTGCTCTTGGTCTTTTCCCCACACCAGCAGATCATCGATGTGGCAGACCACCCCGTCCAGTCCGTCTATGACCTCTGCCATGACACGCTGGAAGTGCTCTGGGGCAGAGTTTATCCCAAACGGGAGACGCTGGAAGTGGTATCGTCCGAAAGGTGTTATGAATGTTGTGTATTTGGCTGACTCCTCTGCTAAAGGAATCTGCCAGAATCCCATGTTCGCGTCTGGTTTACTGAACACTCTGGCTCCTGCTAGCATTCCTAAACTCTGGTCGACTGATGGCAGGACATACTTCTTGTGACACACATACTGGTTCAAGCCCGTGAAGTCCACACACAGGCGTAATCGCTGGCTGTTCTTCTTTGGGACAACGACGATGCCAGCGCACCACTCTGTAGGCTCTTCGACACGCCTGATGACCCCCATCTCTTCCATACGTTGGAGTTCCTCTTTCACCTTTCCCATAAGAGGCAGGGGAATTCTCCGTGGAGTCTTTAAAGAGAATGGCACAGCATTTGGCTTGAGCTTGATGTGGTATGGTCGTCGGATGTCGCCTAGGCCCTTGCACAATTTTGGGTAGGTTGCCTTTAAAGAGTCCATGGTGACGCTGTCGACTCGAATGAGTAGGCCCAGGGCAGTAATGGCCGGTAGCCCGAGCAAAGGTGTGCTCAGGTTTTTGACCACGAAGACCTTCTCCTCCGTCTGCTTGGCTTTGTAAGTCAGCTGCATTTTTGCATAGCCTGCTACCTCTAGCTGAATCTTTCCTGGACCCAGCAAGGGTTTCTCTGGCTTATTGAGAATAGGCATTTGTGCCCCTGGGAACAAGTCTTTCAGGTCACTTTCAGAAATGGCAGTAACGTCTGCACCGGTGTCAAGTTTGAATTTCAACACTTTCCCTTTAATCTGCACATCAGCCGCCCACATGTTGTTTTCGCATGACACAGAGCCCAGGAAGAAACTTTTCTCCTCTTCTTCCTCAATGCACGCTACTACAGCCTTGCTTCGACAGACGCGCTGGTAATGGCCCTTTTTTCCACAGCCCCGACATTGTGCGTCATTGGCGGGACACTCCGCTCTAGGGTGAGAAGGCCCTCCACATTTGTAGCACTGGGCGCTCTGCTGCATGCCCTTGTCTCTGCCTTGCATGTGTTGGCGCGGTCGTGCACCACTGCTTTTCAGGTTAGTATATGTCTGTCCTTTCTTTATTAGTCTGTCTATAGAGCTGTCCTCCATCTGCAACACACTGCTAGCATCACTCCTAAGTGCACTCTGTTGCTTTTTTACTTCTTCGGATTGTCTTGCCATATCGATGGCTTTTTGCAAAGTCAAATTTACTTCCAACTGCATGCGTTCGGAAAGTTGGGTGTCTGCAAGCCCCACTACGATCCTATCTCGTATCAGTTCATCGTGCAAGTCCCCGTATTTACAGTGCTCTGCTAAAGCATGCAGGGCAGTGACGAATGCATCAACAGTCTCATTGGCTTCTTGTTTTCTCATATTGAAGCATGCCCGTTCAAACACAATGTTCTTTTTCACAACAAAGAAATTCCCGAATCCGTCCTTTACTTTATCATAGTTTTTCATATCATCATCACTCAGCTTTAGCCCTCTCAATACATCGTCGGCTTCGTCCCCCATACAATATATCAGAGTGTTAACCTTATTCTCCTCGGAGTTTGTAGTCAAGTTGCTCGCTTGTCGAAACCTCTCAAACCTCCGGATCCATTTTGTCCATTCGAGCGGTTTGCTGAAATCGAAAGTTTCCGGTGGCTGAATGTTGACTGTAGCAGTGGGTGCGCTAGCCGCCATGCTCACTCCCCTTTGCTGCACATTAACGTTTCCCTCAGGTTGTTCGGTCGTCATAACATCCACCAATGTCTCTCTTTCCGTCTCTGTCGCCGTGTACCGTCTTTTCTTGCGCCTTGTCCTTCCCGTCATAAACACAGCACTTCTGACACCATGTTGTATATTCTATTTTACGAAAAATAACTCGGGCGTGGGCAAACTGCGTCTTGACATATCCGCCACTTTATTGAACTGCCCTCAACATAGATCCCCGCATCACGTGACCCCACACACACAATCCTATTGGTCTACTGTCTTACTGTAACGTAACCTGCGTAAACATTAACCCCTCATGTACTGTATTCAGATACACCACACTTATCAAATCATGTCAACAGACATGAAGATACTGTGTAAACAGGTGCATCATGAAAACAGGATAGTCTAAAAAACTTCTTCATAAAAGAAGGAATCACAAGGATTACAATAATGAGAAGGTTATTAAACAAGTTTCTGGTAGCTGTGGTGCTGTGGGCAGGTACCAGGTCCTGCTGAAAGTGAACCTGGATCTCCATAAAGCCTCTCAGCAAATGAAGCCTGAAGGTCTCTAAATGCTGGACTTCAGCACCTTGGATTCTGGGCCTTTCTGGTCTCTCTCCAGACTCTCAACAATGACACCGTTGTTGTTACTCATGGGTGTTTTTGTTTGCTCAGGCTCCGTCTAAAGATGCAGTGAGAGACGTTTGTGTTCAGAGCCACAGAGGTCCGAGTCGACGGCTGACCGAGACCACAGCAGCTACACTCAGCATCCCTGCTGCTCAGGCTGCCCAGGTAAAACACACACACTCACACACCATGGATGGTGCTGTGAGATACAGCTGATAGTTTCCAGAAGTTGCTCAAAAAACACCAAAAATATGTGACCAATATTTAGTTCTGTTACTGTGAAGCGCACTGAGCCAAAGCACACATAAAAACACACAGAAAAAGTCTTTGTGTTGTTCTTTCAGCTGGTCGAGTCCCTCCATGTTCTGTCTCATCACATCCTCTTCTACAACCTGAGCTCTCCAGAGCAGATCCTCGCTCACAACCAAACAGGTAAAAAGGTGAGTCTCTGAGAAGGAAAGATGGAAGAGGTTCGGCACTCAGAGAGAGACTGTGTGAGCTAACAGTTCAACAGTTTCAGGATAAAGTTCCTGAGTGGATTTCATCATCTACAGTTCATCATATCATTCAAAGACTCAGAGGATCTGGAGAAATCTCTGTTCTAAAGGGGGACAAGGACCAAAACCAGGACTGGATGGTGCTGCAAATCATACAAATCATCAAAATCAGTTTTTATCGACATTATACGTCTATCAGCGTCCAAACAGTCCTCTTCTCATTTGTCAGCTGAATATAATGTCGCTTCAGGTTGTCATGATATTTAATGTTTGTATCTGCTGTTTTTTTTCAGTGCTACATGGAGAACAGAAGCTGTCAGTGACCAAAGTGAGTCTGACTCAGATACAGAGTTTTATCGTTGTTTTAGGGTTGCAAAGGGGCGCAAGATTTCCACAAACTTTCCACGGGAATTAAAGGTGGGGTGGACAGGATTCTGTTAAAGAAGCATCTTTTTTTTTGGTGTATTTACAAAAAATCTTCTAATATCAGTCAATAGTTATTAGTTATTGATGACATTTGGTAATATAACGATATCTCTGTGTTCTCTTATGTCTGTGTCGTCAACATTTGAACATTTCTGAGCGGTCCGCTCTTTCTGACTGTAAACAAAGCCGTTCTCCACCTCCTCCAACCTGCTCTAATCTGTGTGTGTGTGTGTGTGTGTGTGTTTTCAGTCTCTCTTCCTCAGCTGAAGGAGTTGGACTGGAGAGTCGACATGGTTACCGGGTCAGACTCAGTCAGTCGGATGTCGGTCCCGACTTGCCTGGTTCAGCTCAAGGTGAGCTCCGACCTGAACCTGAATGATAAAGAATCTGGGATCCAGTTTGGGACCTGATCTCTAGTCTCTGTTTATGTAGGCTGAGTCGTATCAGCCAATCAGGTGTCAGCAGGTTTTGGTGTTGGCAGGATAGTCAGTCAGTATGGAGAGCAAAAACAGGCAGAACACAGTCCACTGTAATGGCATCACAGGTTATAATCTGGTTTGTGTTTCAGATTGAGGATCCTTCAGTGAGCGGTGATTCGGTCTCCACAGTGACGGTGGAGCTGAGCCGAGAGTCTCTGGACACCATACTGGACGGACTGGGACGTATCAGAGACCAGCTGTCAGTGGTTGCTGGGAAATGAGGACAGCTGATTGGCTTGTTTGTGTGATGACATCACAGCTGTCTGAGGACATTTTGATCGGACTGATGATGAACTGTTTGAACGGAAGCTGCAAGAACTTTTCTCTGTGTTTGAGTCATTTCATCACCGTGCTGCAGATTCACTCGTCAGTCAGCAACAGAGATTTGTCGGCTCATTAAGCACTCTACCTGCCAACATAATTAAAGGAAAACAGAGTTATGAATAAAAGAAGTAAACATTTGATACATTGTACTTTGCATTTCATTGTCATCTTTATTTTTGTTCTTTAAGCTGTGGATATTCAGACCCCTGGACTGATTATCATCTTCACCTGTTTCATGGATGTTGGTCAGTTTAATACTGTGAATATCTAACCTGAGGTGCTCCATATCAGCCTCATTCTCTGGACCAAGATGTTTGTTAATCATTTCTTTCTCACATGCACCAAAATAAACGTCTTTTCTAACTCTCTTTCACTCTTTAACATTCAGTCTCTACATTTAAACTTATTATTGTGATGATAGGAGATGATGGTGGTGTAGCATCAGCAGAAGACTGTACAACCAGTGCTAAAAACATGCATCAAGTGTTGACAGGCCGTTATAATTAAAATCACGTGTTAAGTACCTCTTTAGTGTCACTGTTTAAAGAACTGTGGAAACACACTGTTACAAATTATTATGCAAATTAGATTTAAGTCATAAACATTCAACATTTTACTGTGTGGAGTGTAACAGGAGAGATCAGCACAGACTAAAACCAACTATACTGACCACAGATCCTCCAGTCTGTAGTCTGGACTTTTCTGAAGATCACACAGCAGCTCCATGTCTGAAAACTGCAGATCGTTGCCTAACAGCCACAGAGCTTTCAGATGGGAGGGGTTGGACTTCAGAGCTGAGGCCAGAGAAGAACAGCTGATCTTTGTCAACCTGCAGCTCCTCAACCTGAATAAAGAGTAAATAATGAGATTTTAGACAAAAATGATCCAGTTTGAAACCTGATGTCTTAAATCTGTCGAGTTCAGGGGAAAGGTTTGGAAAGTATGAATCAAAGAAAAGTGACGCTCCAAAGAGCTGAACCAAACAGGAAGTAAGTTTGAAACTGTGAATTCAAAAACACATTAAATAGTGAAATGAAAAACTCTGAGACTTTTTTACTGATTGTAGCTGCAAATCAATATTTTCAGAAAATGTCAGCGACTTCAGGACGGATGGGAAATAAAGGATGTTCAGAATATTTTCACTTTGCTGAACCAAAAATATCACGTCTATGAGAGGTAAATATTTCAGTCTAAACACAGCAAGGCTTCAGAAAAGTGCAGTTAAACCAGAAAATTCAGATTTTCACACAAAGATTCAAAAACAAATTCAAAGTAACAGAGCTGGACTTTCATCAGTGTCAGAAACTAAACTCTGAGTTTTTTCTATTCCCTGATCTTGTCCTGAACAAAAGTTTGAATGGTTCTCGCCTGACAAATCTCCCCCTGCTTCTGTTTTCTGTCTGAATGTGCTTCTCACTGTGAACTCTACAAAGAGTTTTCTTCTTGTGTTCAGGTTTTAATTCACTGGAGCTCAGCAGTGATCTAACTGGAGTCAATCAAATAATCCACCGATGCAGAAAATCTACTCTGGACTGAAGGTGTTCAGTCTGGGTCAGTGTTTCAGTCCTGAGTCAGCAGTTTAGTGTCATCATCACAAACAAATCATGATATGTTTGAATGGAGGAAAAAAGTCTGACCTCAGAGTCTCCAGTTTACAGTTTGGACGCCGCAGAAAGGCACACAGCAGCTTCACTCCTATATCATGCAGCTTGTTGTAACCCAGGTCCAGATGTCTCGGATGGGAGGGGTTGGACTTCAGAGCTGAGGCCAGAGAAGAACAGCTGATCTTTGTCAAATTGCAGCCCCACAGTCTGAAAAAAGGAAAGAGAATGAAGATAAAAATAATTAATAATCAAACTTCAGGTGTTCAGGTTTAAAATATGGAGCTTAGAGAACTCCAACAGGAGACCTTTGGACCAGATCCAGTCTGTCAGAGCTCATGATCTGGTCTGCTCTGACCCTCCATGTAAAATAACAGACAAGACATCAGATGTGATGGAGCACTGGTTTGGATTAGAGGTTCAGGTGTTCAGAAGGTGGAGTCCTTGTTGCAGCAGTTGCTGGTTGGACTCCCATGATCCTTTGCTGTAAGTCCTCCCTCACTCTCTACTCCACGTTTCCTGTTCCTCTTCAGCGCTCGGATCAATAAAAGTCTTCAAAATGAACTTGAACTGTGACATGGAGGAAACAGGAGGATCTTTGTCTGCCTTCATCCCTCACTGTACACTGATCTTCAACAAGAACACTCAACCCAGAATAACAGACTGTGTTGTCTCTACTGTCAGCACTGGACCGGACCAGCCAGCAATCCTCCAGATCTGAGTTCATGGAAGTCAGAGACAAACCAGAAATACTCTCAACCAAGAAGAGCTCAGAGAGAGTCACCCAGGACACTGAGCCGACCTCCCTCAACCAGGCTGGTCTCAAGAGTTTGTATTGAGCAGATCCAGCCCATGTGAACCTGAACCTGAATGTGCTCTCAGACTGTAACATCAGCGCTCTGCCAAACAGAGAATGGATGAGACTCTGATGAGACAGGTCAGCTGACTCTGTCTGCAACAACATCACCTTTACTGCTTTACTCTTCTCCCTCACCTTCATCAGGATCAACAAGGTCAGACAGCAGACAGATCCACTCTTCCTCTCACTTTGTCATTTGTTTATTCTTTATTCTTTGTCAAGTTTTCCTCCACATGTTCATCCATGTTTTTTGATTTTTCCTTAACATCATCTTCGTTCAAGTTTTGAAACTTCAACGTTTATTGAGCACATAGCAATGCAAGATAGTTTTTACCTGATTTTTCTTTAAGTTCGGTCATTTTTTAAATAGTTTCGACTGGCCATCGAGCTTCTATTTCTTACTTATCTGCGTTACTTCAAAGTCACCTCTGAACACCACCCAGCAGGCCCAAAGTCATCCTCTGTGGTAGAGTTTTGTGGTGAGACCAAAGGAGCATCAAAAGGAACCATAAGGTGCTGTTTTTTGCATTCAGGCCTGTGTGCTATGACTCCAGGCCCATCCTTCGTCTGCCTTCGGTCCTCTGCTGAGCCCAACCTCTTGAACCGCTGGTAGCCCAGACCTTCGAAACCTGTTCCATCCTCCCCAAGGACCAGCCTCACATAGGTATGCAGACCTCCAGAGCTCCAAACAAGACTGATACTGTCTCATACATTCATGATCCAAATAATCACTTATTTGAGATCTCCTAATCCACTTAATCCTTAACAAATAGATGAATATTAAGTAAATGTGTTCAAATTTCACTGTAATTAAAACACCAAAACTCCAAATCTCAAAAAACAAAACAGCTGTCACATTATCATGACTAACAAAATTCAGTTTCAACAATTTAATGTTTGTATGGAAACATGAGGGAAACTCTCTGATTTGGTTGAATAAAGGGACGCACAGACGTCATGAAGCCTGATCTAATGTCTGCCACTGCTGTCTTTTTCTCAGGAGGTTTGGTTGAATTCACTCCAGCATGTCCTCTAGACATGAAAACATCATCATCATGAGTCAACTCTGCATGAGCGGTGGACACCTGCATTTTCCAACCACTTCAAAGTTTGTATCCTGGACTGTTTGGATGAAATCTCTGCTAACAGCTGATTGTTGTTGTTGTTGTAACTAAAGCAGCATGTTGTGAGGATGTTCTCACAGGGTCTGGTCTGTGCTGAGGAGTTATACAGAGAGTTGAAATGACGGAGCTCTGACAGCAAGGTTTCTGACTGAAGCTGCTCACTGATGGGACTTTGTTGTCCCATGAAGACACCTTTGTTGTTGACAAAGTTTCCTGTATGAAAAAGATGTGCTGTGTTCCTGAGCTGCATGAATAGTGAGTTCACTGCATCCTTGAACATTTGAATGACTTAGAGACCGAGGAAGAAAACCCGTCAACATCACTGCAGTGATCATCTAAACCATTTATAAAAAATCATCAACTTTCAATCAACAAAATAACTCACAGTTTTCCTCCATCTGTATCTGACTGATGATTCAATAAAAACTATGAATTTATGTAAGAAAGAAGAAAGTTCTGGAAATATTAAAGAATTCAATGAACATTCGAATTGGGTTAAAAAACTGAATAAACATAAAAATCTACAACAGAAACAGACAAAGACTAAACTTACTCCAGAGTCTCCAGTTTATTGTTTGGACTCTGCAGAAATTCACACAGCAGCTTCACTCCTGAATCCTGCAGATTGTTGTTACTCAGGTCCAGAAGTCTCAGATGGGAGGGGTTGGACTTCAGAGCTGAGGCCAGAGAAGAACAGCTGATCTCTGACAAACTGCAGCTCCACAGTCTGAAAAAAGAAAAAATCACGTAACCTCTGAAGAAACTGTTCCTGCTTCTAATGATTCAATGTTCTTGTGTCTCTGAAGGACATAGAAGAACTTTTTCAGAGTTGATCTTGAGGAACTTTGTAAAATCATCTCAAAACTTTTGAAGATCTCGAAGAAAATTTCAGTTGAGAAAATTTTAAAGAAACAGAAACTTTAGTGAGATCCTGAGAAACTAATGTGAGAAATCTTTAAGGTTTTTTTGTAGTCCTGAATTCTTCATGAAGATGAAAATAGTCAGGAGTTTATTCAGGGGTCTGTCCGTCTGCTGTCAACAACTGACAAACTACTCTTAAATAAACCAACAGCTCATTGATCAGAGAGGTTTTTATGGACCAACTGGACAAGATGATGTTCATGTTCAACAAACTGAAGTGAAAACTGCAGAAAAATCTGGATCTGGTTTTTACATTTGATCATGACTGAGCAAAGAAGAAATTCAAGTTTTCAGGAGTTTCCAAATGAAATATCCAGAGTTGGATTAACTTTGTTCTTCAGGTTTCAGTCTGCAGCTCATCATTTCTCTGACACTTCATTCATTCATTAGTGATCACATTAATTGTGGATCAGTTCAATATCAGCCTTTAGTCTGTGCTGCTCCTGCCCTCTACAAGCATGTGTAATATTTGTGGGACTGATTTTCTCCTGCTTCCTTTCTACATCCATCGTTCTACTCAAAGTCAACTCTGAAATGTCGGATTTTTCTTCCTGTGTTGAAGTTTTACAACGACAAATTCAAACTGCTCGACCAAAGTTGATGGAAAAACCACAGAGAAAAATCTAAGGCAGCAGCTGTCACATCTTATTGTTCGATCAGAAGGAAATGGTGTCTCACTTCAGAGTCTCCAGTCTGCAGTTTGGACTCTCCAGTCCTGCAGAGAGAAGCTTCACTCCTGAATCCTGCAGATTGTTTTTACTCAGGTCCAGATGTCTCAGATGGGAGGGATTGGACTTCAGAGCTGAGGCCACATCTTCACAGTGAGTCTCTGAGAGTTCACAGTTCCAAAATCTGTAACAACATAAATATCAAACAATGTTTAATTAAAGGGTAATTTGATGTTTCTCTTCCCCAAAAACAAACATGATCTTTGGTTTGACAGACGGCCTGTTTTTAACCAGACAGATACTAATATCAGGACCACAGCCATGAGAGAAGACAGGAAGTCAAAGTTTAGAAGAAAAAAAAACTGTTTAGATGTTCAAGACAAATGACTCCATGACTTATTTTAGTCATTCTGTTCTCTAACAGTGTTGTCTTCATGTTAGTGCAGCTGGATCATTATGACTGAGTGAATTCTTGAGTTCTGGTTGGAGAAGGGGACTGAGAACCAGGTTTTTGGTCCTGGTATGTGATTGGTTAGTATCCAAAGTACCTCTTGGAGAATCAGTGCTCCTCTCAGTGTTTAATGTTGACATCCTGCTGTAATGTAAGTCTTTCCATAGACACTGACTGTTGACCAATCAGAGGACGACTCACTAAATCCCAGCAGCTCCTTTTTCTCTGATTGGTTCAGATAAAACCATTTTTTTAGCAGGTTAGAGCTGGTTTGACTCTGAACATTTGAAGAGTTGAAGATTTATGTTTTTCACAGTAAAAGTTTTTTCTCTATGTAACATTCCCTTCAGCAGCAGAAACACGTTTATAAAGCCTGATGAATCCAGAGAGACCTTTAAGAGACAGAAACAAAGACCCACTGAACCTCTGTCTTTGGGCTCTGGTCTCTCTCTCTCTCTCTCTCTCTCTCTCTCTCTCTCTCTCTGTCTCTAAGTAAAACCAGAACAGCTGCTGTCTAAGTTAGGTCTGAGTTTATTTGACCTTTCTAGTACGTTCTCATGAATGTACTAAACAGATTAATTCTTGCTAATACGTGTGTTTAATACATTAAGTAGAATTTGGAGCCACAGGAAATTTATCTTTGAACATGTTTTCTTCACTTTTTTAAATATTTGCACTAAATCATGAAGTGAGGTATCAATAATGAGTTCTGATAATATGAACATGGAGGATCAATATGGGTACCTGCTTTAATTCAACCTAATGACAGCCATGCTAATTATGGCCAAAAACAGAGTTTTCTGCTCCCTAAAAAGTCTTTCTTGTTAGCCCTATAGACCTGGTTCAGTCTCACAATCTCAGACCTGGATCTGGATGAGCTGGATGAAATCTCTGCTAACACCTGATTGTTGTTGTTGTAACTAAAGCAGCATGTTGTGAGTATTTTCTTACAGGGTCTGGTCTGTGCTGAGGAGTTATACAGAGGGTTGAAATGACGGAGCTCTGACAGCAAGGTTTGTGACTGAAGCTGCTGACTGATGGGACTTTAAGACACCTTTGTTGTTGACAATGTTTCCTGTATGAAAAAGATGAGATGTGTTCCTGAGCTGCATGGATAGTGAGTTCACTGCATCCTTGAACATTTGAATGATTTAGAGACCGAGGAAGTAAACCCGTCAACATCACTGCTGTGATCATCTGAACCATTTATAAAAAATCATCAACTTTCAATCAACAAAATAACTCACAGTTTTCCTCCATCTGTATCTGACTGATGATTCAATAAAAACACTATGAATTTATGTGAGAAAGAAGAAAGTTCTGGAAATATTTAAGAATTCTATGAACATTTGAATTGGGTTAAAAAAACTGAATAAGCATAAAAATCTACAACAGAAACAGACAAAGACTAAACTTACATCAGAGTCTCCAGTTTACATTTTGGACTCTGCAGAGAGTCACACAGCAGCTTCACTCCTGAACCCTGCAGATTGTTGAGACCCAGGTCCAGATGTCTCAGATGGGAGGGGTTGGACTTCAGAGCTGAGGCCAGAGAAGCACAGCTAATCTCTGACAAACTGCAGAAATTCAATCTGAAAAAAGGAAAAATCAGTGAACCTCTGAAGAAACTGTTCCTGCTTTTAATGATTCAATGTTCTTGAGTCTCTGAAGGACACAGAACTTTTTCAGAGTTGATCTTGAGGAACTTTGTAAAATCCTCTCAAAACTTTTGAAAATCTTGAGGAAAATTTCAGTCAAGAAAATTATAAATAAACAGAAACTTTAGTGAGATCGTGAGAAACTCCTGTGTTCTTCAGGTTTCAATCTGCCGCTCCTCATTTCTCTGACACTTCATTCATTCATTAGTGATCACATTATTGTGGATCAGTTCAATATCAGCCTTTAGTCTGTGCTGCTCCTGCCCTCTACAAGCATGTGTAATATTTGTGGGACTGATTTTCTCCTGCTTCCTTTCTACAGCCATCGTTCTACTCAAAGTCGACTCTGAAATGTCGGATTTTTCTTCCTGTGTTGAAGTTTTACAACGACAAATTCAAACTGCTCGACCAAAGTTGATGGAAAAACCACAGAGAAAAATCTAAGGCAGCAGCTGTCACATCTTATTGTTGGATCAGAAGGAAATGGTGTCTGACCTCAGAGTCTCCAGTCTGCAGTTTGGACTCTCCAGTCCTGCAGAGAGAAGCTTCACTCCTGAATCCTTCAGATCGTTGACACTCAGGTCCAGATGTCTCAGATGGGAGGGGTTGGACTTCAGAGCTGAGGCCACAACTTCACAGTGAGTCTCTGAGAGTCCACAGTCAGAAAGTCTGAAACAACATAAATATCAAACAGTATTTCATTAAAGGGTAATTTGATGTTTCTCTTCACCAAAAACAAACATGATCTTTGGTTTGACAGACGGCCTGTTTTTAACCAGACAGATACTAATATCAGGACCACAGCCATGAGAGAAGACAGGAAGTCAAAGTTTAGAAGAAAAAAAAACTGTTCAGATGTTCAAGACAAATGACTTATTTTAGTCATTCTGTTCTCTAACAGTGTTGTCTTCATGTTAGTGCAGCTGGATCATTATGACTGAGTGAATTCTTGAGTTCTGGTTGGAGAAGGGGACTGAGAACCAGGTTTTTGGTCCTGGTATGTGATTGGTTAGTATCCAAAGTACCTCTTGGAGAATCAGTGCTCCTCTCAGTGTTTAATGTTGACATCCTGCTGTAATGTAAGTCTTTCCATAGAAACTGTTGACCAATCAGAGGACGACTCACTAAATCACAGCAGCTCCTTTGTCTATGATTGGTTCGGATAAAATCATTTTTTAGCAGGTTAGAGCTGGTTTGACTCTGAACATTTGAAGAGTTGAAGATTTCTTTGTTTTCACAATCAAAATTTTTTCTCTATGTAACATTCGCTTCAGCAGCAGAAACACGTTTAGAAAACCTGATGAATCCAGAGAGACCTTTAAGAGACAGAAACAAAGACCCACTGTACCTCTGTCTTTGGGCTCTGGTCATCTCTCTCTCTCTCTCTCTCTCTCTCTCTCTCTCTCTCTCTCTCTGTCTCTCTGTCTCTAAGTAAAACCAGAACAGCTGCTGTCTAAGTTAGGTCTGAGTTTATTTGACCTTTCTGGTACGTTCTCATGAATATAAATAACAGATTAATTCTTGCTAATACGTGTGGTTCATACATAAAGTAGAATTTGGAGCCACAGGAAATTTATCTTTGAACATGTTTTCTTCACTTTTTTAAATGTTTACACTAAATCATGAAGTGAGGTATCAATAATGAGTTCTGATAATATGAACATGGAGGATCAATATGGGTACCTGCTTTAATTCAACCTAATGACAGCTATGCTGGTTATAGTCCTTTAGACCTGGTCCAGTCTCTCAGACTCAGACCTGGATCAAACCTCAGTCTGCTGCAGTGTTTGTTTACAGGCTGTTTCAGCAGAAGGCAGCAGTCTGACCAATTTACATCAACATCTTAAACAGAGGCGTGCAGCCGAGGGGGAGAAATGAGACCGCTACAGCCCACCAACACCTCAACATGAGAGAGAGAGAGAGAGAGAGAGAGAGAGAGAGAGAGAGAGAGAGAGAGAGAGAGAGAGAGAGAGATTAACATCCTATTTCCACCATTGTTTTCAGACTCATGGAGCTGCTGTCCAAATACCTCCTGTGTTCTCATCATTCATATGTTCTAGTCCAGCAGATAATCTCCAGTGAGTGGTAGGAAAGGATGTTAGTTTTCATGATGGCACAGAGACAGTTCTGCCACTGTGTAGAAAATGATCCAGTTCTATTTTCACCATCAATGCTGTCAACACCCTCATTTACAACAGATTCATCATTTCCAACCTGAAAACCAGCAGGAAGAAGCTGCAGACACCTTCTTCAAACTCAAGTTCACCACAACTGACTGAGATGTTGATCTGGACTGATACCATCATCAGAAGACCTCTGTGTGTCCTCAGATATGGTCGCCGATTTGTCCTGAAAGTTCCACTTTATTCATTACAGACACGATTCAAAACAAAGAGGTCCTCCTTGATTAGGACAAGTTCTCAGGGGTCCACAGGTAGACCTCATCCTGGGCTAACAGGACTTTAGACACCAGAATCATGTTTTTGCTAAAGAAACCCCCTCCCTGATATTTGAGTCGATTTCTATTTGAAGAAGAACATCATCAGTAACGTGGACATTGGAAGAACTACAGGGATCATTTACAGTGTAAATGATCCCTGTAGTTCTTCTAAATTTTACACTATTCTGAGAATAAAACCTGGACTTACACAGCCTTTCTGCAGTTCCTCACAGCTGGGACCAGTCTCTGTTTTCCCAGGAATGATGTGTTATACTTCTCTAAGTCCAACTCATCCAGAACCTCCTCTGACATCTGCAGCATGTAGGCCAGAGCAGAGCACTGGATCTCTGAGAGTTTCCTCTCTGATCTGTTCTCTGACTTCAGGAACTCTTGGATCTCCTGATGAACTGACAGATCGTTCATCTCCGTCAGACAGTGGAAGATGTTGATGCTTCTGTCAGGAGAGATATCTTCACTGTTCATCTCCTTCAGGTTGTACATGACTGTTTGGATCATTCCTGGACTGTTGTCTGTGTGACCCAGAAGACCTCCTAAGAGTCTCTGGTTTGACTCCAGAGAGAGTCCATGAAGGAAGCGAACAAACAGGTCCAGGTGACCGTTTTTACTGAGAAGGGATTTCTCCACGACTCTCTTCAGGAGGACATCCAGAGATGAGAAAATGTAACCAATGTTTTCAGAAAAATAAGAAAACATTGTGTCTTTGTGTTTGTTGTCTCTTAGGAAACTCTCCAGAGCTTCTGTCTTCCTCTTCTTTGTGAAACTGTGGATCATGTAGACTGCAGCCAGAAACTCCTGAACGCTCAGATGAACGAAACAGTAAACTGTTTTCTGGAAGATCACACTCTCTCTTCTGAAGATCTCTGTACAAACTCCTGAGAACACTGAGGCCTCTGAGACATCCAGACCACACCGCTCCAGGTCTTCTTGGTAGAACATGATGTCTCCTTTCTCCAGATGTTCAAAGGCCAGCCCCCCCAGCTTCAGGAGGACTTCACTGTCAGCCTCCATCAGCTCCTGAGGACTTGTCTCATGTCCTCCTTCATACTTCTGCTTCTTCCTCTTAGTCTGGACCAGCAGGAAGTGTGAGTACATGTCCGTCAGGGTCTTGGGCAGCTCTCCTCTCTGCTCTCTGCTCATCATGTCCTCCAGAACTGTCGCAGTGATCCAGCAGAAGACCGGGATCTGACACATGATGTGGAGGCTCCTGGAGGACTTGATGTGTGAGATGATTCTGCTGGACAGATCTTCATCTCTGAACCTCTTCCTGAAGTACTCGTCCTTCTGGGCGTCAGTGAAGCCTCGTACTTCTGTTACCCTGTCCACATGTGAAGGAGGGATCTGATTGGCTGCTGCAGGTCGAGAAGTTATCCAGATGAGAGCTGAGGGGAGCAGGTTCCCCTTGATGAGGTTTGTTAACAGAACGTTGAGTGAAGACTTCTGTGTGACGTCAGACACCACCTCAGAGTCTGTGAAATCCAGAGACAGTCTGCTTTCATCCAGACCGTCAAAGATGAACAGAAGTTTACAGACAGCCAGCGTCTCTGCTGTGACCTTCTCTAGTGTTGGATGGAAAACATGGAGCAGACTCAGAAGACTGAAGCACTCATCTCTGATCAGGTTCAGCTCCCTGAATGAAAGCAGGATCACCAGATGGAGGTCTTGGTTCTCCAAACCCTCTGCCCAGTCCAGAGTGAACTTCTGCACTGAGAAGGTTTTTCCAACACCAGCCACGCCGTTGGTCAGAACCACTCTGATGAGCTTCTTCTGTTGGTCAGGTAAGGTTTTAAAGATCTCATGACACTTGATGGGCGTGTCATGGAGGGTCTTCATCTTTGAAACTGTCTCCAGCTGTCTCACCTCATGTTGTGTGTTCACCTCTTCACTCAGTCCCTCTGTGATGTAGAGCTCAGTGAAGATCCTGTTGAGGAGGGTTTGACTACTTCCTGTTTCATCACTTCCTTCATTCACACATTCACATCTCCTCTTCAGACTGATCTTATGTTCTTCTAAAACCTCCTGCAGACCGCCATCTTCTGAAAGAGAAGAAAAATAAAATGAACCAAACTTCTCAACACGAAAACGTCTTTGTGAGAATCAGTCAGCTGAGTTTTCATCCACAGACTTTAGAGGACAGATGTTCAGACTTACTTCCATCAGAGCTGGACAGCTGCTCCTCCACAGAGTCACATCTCTGTGTCTCTCTATGGAAATAAAAAACATTTATTTTATTTATCATTTCATGTTTGAAAGATTCAGAAGAAGAAACATTTATTAAACCAGAGTTTCTCTTTTCTCTAACATAAAACAGTAAAATATTCAGCTGCTGCTGCCTCAAAGTGTGGAGACAGGAGAAAAAACTAAACTGTGATTTTTGAAGGTCGAGAGATTTTCTCTGACAGTTTCAAACATTTTTTAACAATCAGATCTAAAGGTCTAATAACAGACAGATGCTCTGAATGAGTTTTTATTTCTCAGGATTTATTTCTTCGTTGGTCTTCTGGTATTTTCTGACCCAGAGACTGTTTTCTGGGGTCTATACACCACAGTCCAAAGACTTACAGGCTCAAAACGTCCCAAACACAGGAACCAAATCAGAAAATACAGAGGTCAGAATCCTTTTCTAATGCTGTTTTATACCACCTTCATTTTTATAAACATTAGAAATAATAAGTAAATCTGTGCTCAGTGACTTTTTCTTTACTTTCTCCAGGTTTGGAGGTTCAACAGGAAAATCAGCGTTTAAGATCATTTATCTCACCATGGTAGAAAACAGAGGGGTCAGAATTTAGAGCATCATAAATTACTGTTTGAGAGTTTGGAGGTTAAAAAGTGTTTCTCTTACTGTGAATCTGAGGGTCCTGGTTCTTCACTGGAGTCAGGAGAAAAATCCTCAAACCGGTCGCTCCTCATAGACAGACAGTCAGACATAACAGACGTTGCTCTGCCCTCCTCTTCCTGGACACCATCACTCATCTTCTCCATCTGATGTTGAACAAATTTATGGAAGCTGAAACCGAGTTATACAACCTGAGGACAAAGTAGACAAACAGGTGAGACACAAACAGGAAGAGAGAGTGAAGATGAAGATAATCCAGTTTCTACATCTCATTATGTCAAAGATCTGTCTGCACACTACCTCTTATTTTAAATCATAAAGGTCCTGGTTGGTTATTTCTTATCCAGTCTAATATGATCGAGTCAAAGAGTCTGAAATCACATTTCTTTACAATCTAAGAACTTTGTTCTATCAAGTATTGTTAAATGTCAAACTAATGTTTTATTCTTGACTGATTCTTCTGTTTAACCGGTTACAGAAAACAAAGCTGCTTTGGACTTTAATTTGATTCTTTACAGTCATTTACTGTGAAGAGACTTGAGTAGTGAATAATGGTGCTCTGTTGCCCTGAGTCTCAATTTCTTGATGCACTTTGGAGCAGAGGCAAATCGGGTAAGCTACAAGAATGAGCTCGCACTTTATCTACAATATTACTGTATCAAGGAAATTGACCAAGAGTGAATCATAAAATCTGGATTCCCGCGAGCAAGTATTGGATGATACCATACTCAAGAGAAATTATTTTACAGTCCTTACACGGCTCCTTTGCTCTCCTCTTGCCCAACTTCTTCTAGTATATTTTGGAATGGTTGCTAATTACTGTAGCTCTCCTGATATGCTCTTTTTCAAAGATTTGCATGTACTGAAAGCCAGAAGACCTAAACGACTGGGGAACCATCGCTCCTTACACTGACCCTATCAAACTCTTTGTAGTTCATACACTCTTTCCTATTTGGAAACAAACAATATCGAAAAGTTGCACAAAGCTTGATCACCATGCACCAAGTATAAAGGAAACGTTGAAAGGGCTCAGGATAAATAGCCTGGAGTACTTCACAGGGAAACCAGCAACAAAATTTCAGGGTGCATATGTAGAAGTTTTTTGTCAACCCTAGGATCCAGGACATGCAGGTGTGCCCAAATTATTCTCCATGAAGCTAAGATCATTCATATTCTGGATATAGGTGCAAATAGAAATGAAATGCGATGGAAAACTGAGCAAAAATAAGCTATTCCAGCCATTTTTCATATAAATATGGGATAACATACAAATGAAAAAACTCAAAAAAAGCATTTTGCACTATGAGGAAGTAATATTTTACACAAGCAGGCAAGTGGGGCTGACTCCGGATGAGGTCAGGACTGTATAATGTGCCAAATATGGTGATTTTCCACCTAACGTACCACACATTTTGACTGATTACTCAAAAAGTTATGGAATGCCCATCCTGAAACTTGCAGGGATGCTAGTGGACATGATTGTCTTTCTTCAGTATGAATATGAAGAAAATTGAAGGACGCACGTTTTTTGCTATGTCCAATTTAAGTTTTTGGGTCTTTTATAATTTGTTTCTGGTCCAATTTGGAGAAAAAATGTTATGAACAAAAAGATAGAACTTGAAGAGATTTTTAAAATGACATCTGAATCAGCTCTTTAGGTGCCATACTTCCAGAGATATAAACATTTTTGTAACACGTCATGCTAGTTAGCCAAAAATTCATTAGCCCCTATCTCACTAATTAGATGGCTTTGAACAAAAATATTTGAGCTCTGACAGTTTCTCCTGAAGGCCAATCACTCCACCAAATTTTATCAAAATCTGTGACGTGAGTGGAGATTCTCGGTTGAATTGACATGGAATGACCCCTCACTTACGCCTCGGCGATTTGGCAAAAAAAAAATGATCATGATTTATTTTGTCATATCGTCCGATCTCGATTATTATCACGATTTTTTTAAACTGCCAGTTTTACAGCATCTGTACTAAACACAAAAGCAGGAGTGTTGGCAGGTATGGATATGATCGCTGTTTTGGTCCGTGGCTGCACCGCTAGTTGTGTCTAAACTGTTAATGCTACTCGTGCCGTCAGCAGTGACAGGCTGTACAGACTCCGCTCGCATTTTCATGCTTCCCGAATAATCACCCGGGGAGAACAGATTCGTTATGTTGCCGGTTTATCGGCTTAATTGCTCGACATCACTTTGGAGAGACGTTGAATAACTTCTCAACTATAACATCTTCTGAGGAGGACTCAAAGTCACGGCTCACATCTGTCTTACTGCCCTCAGCTCTGCGTTTCGCTCCATGCTCGGTCATCCTGTTTACTTCTCTAGTAACTTACAGAAGTGAGCAGGAAAAGCTCGACTCTGATTGGCTGTTGTGACGCACGTTTCCTCTATGTTTGATCGAGTAAATATGCTCACAGCTGATCACCGTGATCGGACTGAAATTTATCACGATCATCAATCACGATCATATTGTAACGGCGTCAGTTAAAATTGCTGCAGTATCTCTCCTGGTCTGTGTGTGTCTGTGGGCAGGTAGAGAGAGAGGGAGGGGGGCAGTGTTCCGGGGTTATTGGGAAGGGATCCGGAAGTTGTAGGCAGTTTGTAGTTGTTGGTGGTTTTTGAATGAGATGCCTGTGAAAGTGCGAGTCTGAATAAAAGAAACGCCAGAAGACCAGTCCTGTGTCGGACCTGTTTTTGAGAAGCGTTACAATATAATCGCCCGGTCCTACCCTCACTAAAGGCAGAAAAACAGGAAGTACAGCACACTCACAGTTTGCTGGACGAGGAATCAATCCAACAACGTATGTGATCAATTTTCTCTGCTTATCATTTTTAAGTGTAGTAATACGCAAAAACACTTGTGATGAACGACAGACTCTGAAAACCAAACAGTAACACTGAATTAACACTCACCCTGTTACAAGTGTCCTTGTTTCTCTCTGTGCTGACTCACTCTGAAGTCTGAACTTTGAGCACTTTCAGTTTTGTTGTTTTATTGTCAGGTGTCTCCTCCCCCTGATATTTACAGGAAATGACAAGTGTTTGTCTTTGTGAGTGAAGAAAAACGTCCCCTGATCACACAGACATCCATTTACCACTTACTGTAACCCTGCTGCTGTGCCCTTCATTATTAGATCATAAAATAAACATATCAGATTTACTGCATTTAACAATGGACACATCATATAAGATTACATGAGACATACTCAAGAATTCAAAGATCTTTGTGATTCTTCTTGTTTTTTTAATTGTAAGGTTTCGGAATAAATCAATTTTTTAACCTCATTAAAATGTAAACATGCTAAATGGAGCTCCAGTGTTGAGTCTCGGTTTATTGATAATGCAGCAGCACCACCCTCTGGTTAAACCAACAAACTGCCAGATAAGCATGTCCATGTAGATTCTCATTCATCCAGGTCATGGTTATCTTGAGGACTTAAAAACAGGCAACTGGACTGTGTAGAGTTGAGAAGACGTTTCTCCTCTTATCCAAGAAGCTTCTTCAGTTCTAAAATTGCTAGTTTGAGGAGCAGATATTTATCTTACTGGAGAAGGGGGACAGACAACGACTGGGAGGAGTTGGAAAGGAAAGAATGGGTTGTAGAAACCCCCCCAGTCGTTAACCTGAAAGGGTTGTTAACGACCCCTGTCATGTGACCACATGACTCATGCCACCTGGGTCATGTGGTTCCAGGTGTGAATGTTTGTGGAGCTTCCCGGGGAGAGAGCTGAGAACTGCATTGTAGGTGCCAGAGAGATTGTGCCTGAGTCCACCCCCTCTGTTCAGAGAAGGTTTCTCCAGTCTGGTAAAGATGGCTTCTTTAACTCCTCTTTCAAACCATCTGTCTTCTCGAGCCAACACCTGTACCTTGCTGTCCTCGAAAGAGTGACCCGTGTCCTTTAAGTGAAGGTGGACAGCTGAGTCCTGACCTGAGGGAGTGGCTCTCCTGTGTTGAGCCATGCGCTTGTGAAGCGGTTGTTTAATTTCCCCAATGTACAGGTCCGAGCATTCCTCGCTGCAATGGACGGCGTAAACCACATTACTCTGTTTATGTCTCGGTGTTTTGTCCTTGGGATGGACTAGCCTCTGCCTTAGTGTGTTACCAGGCTTGAAATGAACAGGAATATGGTGTTTGCCAAAGATCCTCTTGAGTTTCTCCGACAGGCCTGCAACGAAAGGGATTACGGTGCTCTTGGGTCTCTCCTCCCTTTCAGTGTTATTTCTCTTTCTGTTCTTCACAAAGGCCCACTTAGGGTATCCACAGGTTGTCAGGGCATTTTTGATGTGCTTTTGTTCCTTTTCCTTACCTTCTTTCTTCGTGGGAATGTTCTCAGCCCGGTGGTTGAGTGTTCTGATGACACCCAGTTTGTGCTGCAGAGGATGGTGGGAATCAAAAAGTGGATATTGATCCGTGTGTTGGGGTTTCCTGTAAACTTCAACGTTGAGACACCCATCTGCCTCCAAGTGTACAGCACAGTCCAAAAAGGCCAACACATTGTCTTTGACATCTTCACGGGTGAACTTGATGTTGCTGTCCACTGTGTTGATATGGTCAGTGAAGGCCTCTACTTCATGTGTTATGATCTTAACCCAGGTGTCATCCACATATCTGAACCAGTGGCTAGGTGCTGCTCCTTTGAAGGATGTAAGGGCCTTCCTCTCTACCTCTTCCATGTACAGGTTTGCCACTATTGGAGAAACCGGGGAGCCCATAGCACATCCATGTTTCTGTCTGTAATGGCGCTCTCTGAACTGGAAATAGGTGGTGCTAAGGCAGATGTCCAATAAGGAGCAGATGTGGTCGGGGGTGAAGTTGGTTCTGACTTCCAGTGCGCTTTCCTGTAAAAGGGGTTGTCTTACTGCTTGGACTGCCTCTGTTATCGGAATACTCGTGAAAAGTGATGTGACATCATAGGAAATCATGGTTTCATCTGGGTCCAGCCTGATGTCCTTGATTTTCTCGGCAAAGTCCTGTGAGTTTTTGACGTGGTGAGTGGTGTGGCCGACAAGAGATCCCGGTGGTAGACCTTATCACAGCCACGGAGTCAGTGAAGAAAGAACTGAGCTGTAAGGCAAGATTCTTGATTTACTGGTCGATCTACTTGCTGATCCTCACCTCTGGCCTAAAGAAAAGTTTGATTTAATTTATATTATGATCTAACGGTCAATGATTTGAAATTATACAGACTGTCATTAGCATCGAGTATTTAGGAAAATCTGAGTGTAGGAGCCAAAATATATTTGTCAAAAGTATGATTTTCTTTAGGTACGTCACTTCCGGGGTGTAGTTTTGGAGTTTGTATCAGGCTCAGGGGGGCAGATGAAAGACTTCACAGAGGAGATTCAGCTCACAGTTTTTATTCACGTTTATTTCGAGTTTTCCTGCAAACAAGCCTCAGTGGAACCTGCAGTAAATGTCATGTTACTGTTAGCATGTCCACATATGTATGATTTAAGTGTCATAAGAAGAAATTACAGAGAAACACACTATGGCATGTGGTTTCACAAAATGGACACTTGGTGGCAGCACCGACCACTATCATCACTGGGACTTACAAGTACGCAACGGGAGCTGAGCTCGTTATCCGGTTGAATAGAGAGTGCAGAACAACTGTCCTGTTTTCTTGATTCCTGTGTCATATTTCTAATATTTCCAGGTCAGTTATTTGTATTTTATATGGTCACAAATGTTTATAAGCTGAAATGAATCCCCGATGATGTGTTATCGGTGAGCTAAAAGTGTGTTACGATTGTTAACATCGAAGTTTGACGGTACGTGACTGTTGTAGCAGAGAAAATGGCGCCGACGCCGCAGCTCGTTGATTTGTTTTCCGTATGTTTCTTTCGGCTCCCGGGCATTTGTGAGTTATTTCTGTGTGTTAAAAGCGGTTATGTGTATGGACATTGTTTTAAACAGAGTAAGCTAATGTAAATATGTAGTTTGAGATCAGCTCCGGCTGCAGTCCTGTTTCAGTGGCGCGCACGGTAAGATGAGACAATGACACGGTTCTAGTTCAGCGGTTATAGTAGCGAGATACGAGGTAACCATGTTTAACAATTCAGTTTGTGTTTAGTGTAAAGATGGTACTGTTTAACTGCAAGATTGATATTAAAAGTGAACACTTATAAAATATGCAGCTATGATAAAGATACTTTTTAATGAGAGAAAGAGGTGGTGTGTGTGAAGGAAGAGCACATTCATGGGAAAAGAGAACAGGTGAAGTGAAGTGAAATTTAGATAGGAAAGTTGTTTAATTTTGGAAAAGATGTAAAGAAAAACAGACAGTAATGTGAAAACAGACATTTGATTTTATCCAGATGTGGATATAACCTGTGCTTTAATGTAAAGCAGACAAAATAGCAGAGAATAAGTCATGTTTGCAGTTAAATTGTAAATAAATCGATTATCTGGTTAAATGGAGAATGAAGAACAGCTGTCCTGTTTTCTTGATCCCTGTGCAATATTTCTTATATTTCCAGGTACTCCAACTATTGGATGATCCAAATGTCTAACAGTGGGGTCACTTAGGCGGGACCTGCTACACCATCGTTAAAACAAAGATTACACCTCAGTGAGTGATTTATTTTTAACCTTTGACCCCTATGCTCCTCCGCACACATGATTCAAAGTCCTAACCCGTGATAAATAAACTCACAGCAGGTTCATGTGATATGAAGCAGCAATACTTAACTTTTTTTTTTCTTCTTAAATTGTAATTCATTTACTATGACATATATGACACAGTTTTAACACTTTCCTTTAGATCTCAGCCCTCATAAAAGTCAGCTTAGAAAGTCCAGGACCCTTTAGTATCTCTCTCTCTCAGTCTTTTACATCGAATTACTAGGGTTTGAAAAATAGTTGCTAACAGACACAGTCAGATCACAACTTATCAAATCATGTCAACAGACATGAAGATACCATGTAAACAGGTGCATCATGAAAACAGGATAGTGTAAAAAAAACTTCATCTTCTTCGTAAAAGAAAGAATCACAAGAATTACAATAATGAGAAGGTTAATAAACAAGTTTCTGGTAGCTGTGGTGCTGTGGGCAGGTACCAGGTCCTGCTGAAAGTAAACCTGGATCTCCATAAAGACTCTCAGCAAATGAAGCCTGAAGGTCTCTAAATGCTACACTTCAGCACCTTGGATTCTGGGCCTTTCCGGTCTCTCTCCAGACTCTCAACAATGACACTGTTGTTGTTACTCGTGGGTGTTTTTGTTTGCTCAGGCTCCGTCTAAAGATGCAGTGAGAGACGTTTGTGTTCAGAGCCACAGAGGTCCGAGTCGATGGCTGACCGAGACTACAGCAGCTACACTCAGCATCCCTGCGGCTCAGGCTGCCCAGGTAAAACACACACACACACTCACACCGTGGATGGTGCTGTGAGATACAGCTGATAGTTTCCAGCAGTTGCACAAAAAACACCAAAAAATATGTGACCAATATTTAGTTCTGTTTCTGTAAAGCGCACTGAGCCAAAGCACACAAAAGAACACACAGTAAAAGTCTTGATGTTGTTCTTTCAGCTGGTCGAGTCTCTCCATGTTCTATCTTATCACATCCCCTGCTTATCAGGTAGTGAGAAAAGAAAGAGAATAGAAAGGAGAAAGCAAGACAGCGGTAAGTGGAGTAGATAACGAAGTGTGGCAAATACTTTAGCTAGGGTTAGGTGTTAGGCTGGCTGTTCTTGCACCAATAGTTAGGCGTGCGAGCTGAGCGGGAGATGGTAGCCTGGAGTTCCCGCCCTGTTGGCTTGATGTTACTGTGTCTTGACTCACCTGTACGCGACTGTCTTGCGAGGTTAGCCGGCAACTAGCTGACGGAGAGAAAGTGTACTTGTAAGGCACAACACTGAAATTTCACCCAATTAACTATGACACTGGAAATGTTCACATGAATAAACATAACATGACAAATCCCCACTATCTAGCTTAATATGGCTAATGATTTAAAGAACACACACACCCACACACACACTAGCAGAAATGGAAAAGGAAACAATTGACATTATGTCACTTACTCAGTAGTTGAAATATCACCTCTGAATCAAAGGGAAAAAAGGATGGAGGGATGTACAGCAGGTGCACATAAAGCTCACACATCATTCCAATACAGAGTCTTGACTGTTTTTCCACTTGAAGGTGTAAAAATAACAGTCTGACGATGTAAATGATATAATGTACTCTACCTGATAAAATACACCAGTCCTTAGTGAGTTTACACTCCTGAGAATTATCTTTAAATTGTCACATTGTTAGCTCCCACAGTCTCCCACAGAGTGATAAAACTCTGCTAATCTTTAGCCTCTCTGAATGTCCTTTTTATACCCAGTCACCTCACTAACTTCTAAATTAACCTCATTAGTCAAAAGGTTTTTCGTTCTTATGTTGTCTTTGCACCATTATTATCAAAATACTAAGTTTAGATCATTTGAAAAACATCAAATTCAGTTTTATATCAACGTTTTAAACGTGTCTAAACATTTTTTAAATCAGGGTTGGAGTTTAATGGTGATTTTTTTATCTTAAACAGAACAAAAATATGCATTAAAGCTTTACACCTGCAAAGACTTGATATAAAGTCAAGAGTCTTATAAATCAACAATTTTTTTAACACTTTGTCCTGCTCCTTCATACTCCTGTACATAAATTACAGAATGAAAAATGTTGGCAAACAAATACAGGCTCTATCAACATACAAGGTGAAATTTTATTAGACACAACCAGACAGCAAAAACTCTCAAAAAGTCTTGTCTTGATGAAATTTTGAGCTGATTGGATGGATGTTTGAAATTTAATGTATGAGAGCAAGAAGAGTGAAAAAATAAAAGCAGATTGGAAATGGACTTAGGCTGACAAAACTCTATGCTTTATATCTTTATGAAGCCAGGTTCAGTGTTTCTTCTGTTTTTGTTACATTCGAACATTATTCTAATCAAAGCTGTGTAAAGGCTGTTATATTTCTGCATGTTTATATTGTTATTATTAGGCACAATTTTCAGTGCTTATTGATTTACTGAAAATGAAAAACTGTTTTCATATTAAGATGATGATTCTAGTTTTGGATGATATGTCCAGCGGTGCAAACTCGACACATTTCAGTGAAATTCACTAAATCTGCTACACAAGCTCAGTTGTCATCACTCTAATTCACTTTGTGGTAACATGTGTGTGTCGTGCCTCCTGCCAATAAAAGCAGTAAGTGAAGACTGCGCAAGATCTTTTCTACGCTGCTTACTCCTCCCTCCGGCTATTTTTCTGGCAGCCTTGAACATCAAGGTAAGCATGATGGTAAAACTCTGTTGGACCCATGTTATTTTTTCCTGTAGAAGTCATGCTAGCTAACGTTTGATGTCTCAAGAAGCATTATTTTACATAAGCACAAGTGATCAGCAGCATAATCATTTAGGAATGTCAATGTCTGCTGCAATATGCTGCACATGGCTAATTTGCATATTTGCCATGCGGAAAAACATTGCAGAAAGATTAGAAGTCTAGCTAGCATTGGCGTCGTTAGGCCTATTTAAGGGGGGCTGAAGCCCCCCTAAAATATTCTTTAGCCCCCCTAAATAATTTTATATATATATATATATTTTTAAATATATATATATATATATATATATAAATATATTACAAAAAAGTGCAGACAAATTCAATACAAAGACGCAGGAATATGAGTTTAAATAAATAATAATATAACATGTCATTTTTCACTTAAATATGATCACAAATCATTTGGTTTCCCCTGACTTCACTGTGTAAGGTGGAGAGCCTTCGTCAGCGTTTAGTTATTCAATCCGTTCCACTTGTTGATATAGAGAACGCCCACATTACTGAAAATCCAGTCCGCGTTTTCACTGCTGCCAGCAGCAGCACCTACATGCTCCCTGCACACGGTGACAGCTAGACGATCACATCACGAGCCAGGCAGAGAGCAGCATCATGGACATACGCAAGTTTTTCAAAAAAGTAAGTCTTTATAGCTGCTGGTAGTAACAATAAGCTCCAGCTAACAGTAAATAGTCCCATGTAATTTATGAACCAGTTGCTCCCCTTTTTGAGAAATAAAAACCTGGCTATCACACCAATTGTTAGCATGATGTTGATTTCTGTCACTTGTTTTAGCTCTGAAAAAAGCGAGCTGAGCTCATTCACGTATGATTATCATCAGTGGAAAATAATAATGCACTAATAATACTCACCCCACCATCCCCACTGACCTGTAGGAGTCAGGACAGAGGAGCACAGCAAGTGAGAGGGGAGACACCTCTACTGGAGAGGTGAGTCTAAAAGAATTCACAGGAGTGATGCAGACAGTCTGATTAGAATTTTATGGAACTCAATATGGATATGAAATGTGAAATTTCAGTCACGGTGCACCATATAAGACTTATTTCATTTGAGTTTTTATTTAAGAGAGTCAAGATTAGAAAGTGGAGAGAGCCAAGAGATAAATTAGCCTGACCGAAATATTTTTGGGGGTTCTATTTTAATATTACTTTAAGTCAAGTAATTTAGTAATATTTTTCAGGGCTTTAAATTGCAACCATTTTAGTCACATATGGGCCCAAAATGTAATCTGTGTGACATCTTACTATTTGGGAGCAAAAAATTACTGTGGTGTGTGAGCTTAAGTCATGACATTAGCCTCTATGTTGGATTAGTTATTAATTCAATGCGTTTCAATGTATCTTGGAGGGTCAGGCAGAAGGAAAGGCTGAGGAGCTGCAGCAAATGGCAGAGGAAGCTGAGAGATGAGAGCAAACAGGCCAAGAGAGGGAAAATAATGAAGCAGCTGCAGCAACTCATTCCACTACAGGGTTTGATTTAGGTGACGAAGACACAGGGCCCAGACAGGTCAAGCTGAAGAGCTACCCACAAGATAGTTTTGGTACACAGAAGCGAGCATTTCACTACAGCTGGTTTGAAAAGCACAACTGGTTAGGATATTCAGTCAACCAGAATACAGCTTTCTGTTTCCCATGTAGAGTGTTTGGCAAAAACATAAAACATGATAGTTTGGTCAGTAGTGGTTGCAAGAACTGAAGAAAAAACAGACTGAAATAAAACAAAAAAACTCCTGGTGGCCTGAGACTACATCTTAGTTAAATCCGTCCAAAAAAGCTGAAAAGCAATTTCTCAGTCTTTGTTTTCTGTTTGTGAAATTTTGTGCTCGCTCACTACGTTCACTCACATCCTGTTCATCTCTTGGGGGCTAAGCCCCCCCTGTCCTTAAAACCTAGTGACGCCCCTGCTAGCTAGCCAGCTTTTTTGTCTGATCATATACCATTTGTTAGCCATGGATTTAACTGACTGAAATGCATGCAGACTTGAAGGTAACGTAGGGGCTCCTCCGCACACATGACTCAAAGTCCTAACCTGTGATAAATAAACTCACAGGAGGTTCATGTGATATGAAGCAGCAATATTTTGCTTTTGTTTATTGTAACATCATAAATCTATCAGCATCCAAACAGTCCTCTTCTCATTTGTCAACTGAATATAATGTCGCTTAAGGTTGTCATGAAATTTAATGTTTGTATCTGCTGTTTTTTTTTCAGTGCTACATGGAGAACAAATTCTTTCAGTAACCAAAGTAAGTCTGACTCAGATACAGAGTTTTATCTTTTTTTTTGTTGTGTTGGTGTCTCTGTGTGTTAGAATTAGGGTTGCAAAGTGGCGGAAAAATTTCCAGAAACTTTCCATGGGAAGTTAAGCTGGGGAATTTTGGAAATATTCAAAATTGTAAACTTTCCATGGGAATTATGGGAATTAAAGGTGGGGTAGGCAGGATTCTGTTAAAGAAGCATCTTTTTTGTAGTTTATATTAAAAAAAAAGGCTTTTAATATCAGTCAATACTTATTATTATTATTAGTTATTGATGACATTTGGGAATATAACAATATCTCTGTGTTCTCTAATGTCTGTGTAGTCAAAATATAAAAATTTTTGATCGGGCTACTCTTTCTGACTGTAAACAAAGCCATTCGCTGCCTCCCCAACCTGATTGGTCGTGAGGTGGACGCTTCTCCCACGTGTTGTGGGGCACGCTCCACGTCCTCCAATAATGTTAACGAGCCCAAACAAAGTTAGCGTGCTACAATATCGGACAGTAGAAACCAACCAGAGAGTTCGGAAAAATTGTCTGAATCCTCCTTTGGCCACGACTGCCGACACAAGCAAGAAAACAAAGTAAATACCGGAGACTCTGGAGGAATAACGGGTGCTTAAAACGGAGGTAGACCGGACAAGAGCTAAAAAGCCGGGTCAACATCAATCAATCAATCAATCAATCAATCAAACTTTATTTATATAGCACCTTTCATGCTTTTAAGCTGCAACACAAAGTGCTTTACAAAAAGGTAAAAACAAACAACGTTAAAAAAACAAAAACAAACAACAGTAAATATAGGGCACTTAAATAGGCATAAAACCCGTCCCTTCCCACCCACAGCAGCACATACAGGCATGCACAGCAGCCCACCCCACACACACATACACGCACACACGTATCCACAAACCCACACAGTAACTGTCAGTAAAAACATGGCAAGGCACTGATGATTCTGATAAGGAAAGACCACCTATGGGAGCCGTCCACACCGAGAGGAGCCACAGCCCAACCCCACAGGGAGCACCGCCCCCGAGACCCCCCGACCCAGACAGCCCGGGTGCACCCTGCACATAGTGCAGAGCCCCCTAACCGTCCGGGCCTGGACGATCCCAAGGACCGCGCCCCCCGGGGGCGGACCAGACATACCTCCCAGTGTGGCGGGCCCCCACGAGGAAACTCTGGAGCTAAAAAGACTAGGACATAGAAGGAATTAAAATAATATTAAAATATCTAAATGACGTAAAATGTGATAAAAGTAAAGGATAAAATAAACTAAAACTAAATTGAAATAATGTTAGAATATCTAAGTGACATAAAAATGTGATAAAAGTAAAGGATAAAATGAACTAAAACAGTTAAATTAGCTAAAAGCCAAACTAAAAAGGTGGGTCTTGAGCCTCCTTTTAAAAACATCAACAGTCTCTGCGGTCCTGATGTTCTCTGGCAGGCTGTTCCATAACTTTGGGCCATAATGGCTGAAGGCAGCCTCTCCGTGAGTTTTGGTTTTTGTATGAGGAACAACTAAAAGGCCGGCGCCAGAGGACCTCAGGGTACGCGAGGGTTGATAAGATAAAAGCAGTTCAGATAAATAAGATGGGCCAAGACCATTAAGACACTTAAAAACTACTAAAAGAACCTTGAAATCGATCCTGAAACACACGGGGAGCCAGTGCAGGGATTTTAACCCTTGTGCTGCCCTTCAGGGTCAAAAAGACCCAGTCAGTATACCCTCGCCCTAGTGGGGTGAATTTAGCCTCCAGTCAGCGTGGACTAAGATAACCCATGACTCCTGATTGTTTTACCCCGCCTGGGTCGAATAGACCCCAGTCAAGTATGGATTTGAGAATCGTAAACTCGCGCCCCTGCCCTCGGCAGGGTCAAATATACCCCACCGTGGTGTACATAGACTTTTTTTTTTTTTTTCATTTATTTATTTATTTTTACTCATTTGAACTCATGACTCCTGACGTTCCAGCGCGCATCTCAAACAGCATACACCCCTGGACCTGATTCTCGCTCATCCAGTCAAGTATCCTGTGGTGGTGGCGTTGAGGACCCCCTGTATTTTACAGCGTGAGGACTGTAAAAAACATAAAGCTCTAGGTTTTACTTTCAAGGCTACACTACATATAGAGACTAAGAAAACATGGAAACTTGGAGGACTGGAAAAAAAAAAAAAATTTTTAGGAAAGGATGTTGGTATCAACAAAAGTTCCATCACAAGAGTTGAGTAGAATAGAGTGAAAACTGTATTCATCACGGCAGGGAAACTTAGAGAGTGTCAGAGAGCTTGCAAATACAGATAACAACAGCCGCACTACCTAATTCATATAAATGAGCACAACCTATCACAAAATAAAGGCAGTACAGTGAAAAGGCAAGGGGATTTTGTTTTTACACACGCTTTTGTCTCAGAGAGTTTCACATAGCATTATAATGCCAACATCATCTGCCCTTAGACCCTCACGTCAACTGAGGAAAAATGGAGAAATAAAACAAAAAAAAAATTGGAGAAACCTCAGGGTGAGCAACACAGGAGAGATCCCCTCACCCAGGACGGGGCAGACCTGCAACAGAGGTTCTATACAGACAAAAACAAACAAACAAACAACAAAAAAAAAACGGGTTTACAACACATAATGTGCCGAACACGACATTCCATTGTTGCCTAACAGGAAAACAGAAAAGTTTTCTCAAAAGTGTTGAACACCGACAAAAAGGACCGTAGAGGAGAGACTACAGTACAGTAAGTATTCTATATCTATCTATCTATCTATCTATCTATCTATCTATCTATCTATCTATCTATCTATCTATCTGTCTATCTATCTATGTATTTAAAGACATGAATATATTTGCGTTTTTCGTGACTCGTGCGCCCTGAGAGTGGCAGCAAGTCACAGCAGCTCCTCACAGACTTCGCGTTTTTGCCTTCTTATTGTTGTTTTTTTGCACCTTATTTATACCCTTATTGTTATACCTGCATGTTTGCACTTTTTGTCTTGTCTGTGATGCTGCTGTGACAAAAAAAATTTCCCCATGGGGGATCAATAAAGGAATAGTCTATTCTATTCTATTTGTTTTTGTTCATCTTCTTACTCTGTGTGCTTTTAAAGCAAGGGAATGGCTGTAATAGCTCCAACAAAACAATGTGAACGCGTAGTAGTGTAGGGTATTGTGAATTCCTAGAACGACAAAATGTGTTCGGATTTTGGACAAAATCTGTTCGGATTTTAGATCAACTCAGAAATCCAGTCAAACAATATAGTTTGTCTCTCTCTCTCTCTCTCTCTCTCTCTCTCTCCCCCTCTCCCCCCCCTCTCAACATGCGTTTACAGGATCTTGTTTTCCCTTCACAGTCGCACTGCATTCCACAGGGCCGTTCATGCCATTGTTGCCAAGGAGGACAGAAAAACAGAAAAGTTTACTCAAAAGGTTTGCAGACCGACAACTGGGACCGTAGAGGACAGACCAGAGAACAGTAAGTATTATCTATCTATCTATCTATCTATCTATCTATCTATCTATCTATCTATCTATCTATCTATCTATCTATCTATCTATCTATCTATCTATCTATCTATCTATCTATCTATCTATCTATCTATCTATCTATCTATCTATCTATCTATCTATCTATCTATCTATCTATCTATCTATCTATCTATCTATCTATCTATCTATCTATCTATCTATCTATCTATCTATCTATCTATCTATCTATCTATCTATCTATCTATCTATCTATCTATCTATCTATCTATCTATCTATCTATCTATCTATCTATCTATCTATCTATCTATCTATCTATCTATCTATCTATCTATCTATCTATCTATCTATCTATCTATCTATCTATCTATCTATCTATCTATCTATCTATCTATCTATCTATCTATCTATCTATCTATCTATCTATCTATCTATCTATCTATCTATCTATCTATCTATCTATCTATCTATCTATCTATCTATCTATCTATCTATCTATCTATCTATCTATCTATCTATCTATCTATCTATCTATCTATCTATCTATCTATCTATCTATCTATCTATCTATCTATCTATCTATCTATCTATCTATCTATCTATCTATCTATCTATCTATCTATCTATCTATCTATCTATCTATCTATCTATCTATCTATCTATCTATCTATCTATCTATCTATCTATCTATCTATCTATCTATCTATCTATCTATCTATCTATCTATCTATCTATCTATCTATCTATCTATCTATCTATCTATCTATCTATCTATCTATCTATCTATCTATCTATCTATCTATCTATCTATCTATCTATCTATCTATCTATCTATCTATCTATCTATCTATCTATCTATCTATCTATCTATCTATCTATCTATCTATCTATCTATCTATCTATCTATCTATCTATCTATCTATCTATCTATCTATCTATCTATCTATCTATCTATCTATCTATCTATCTATCTATCTATCTATCTATCTATCTATCTATCTATCTATCTATCTATCTATCTATCTATCTATCTATCTATCTATCTATCTATCTATCTATCTATCTATCTATCTATCTATCTATCTATCTATCTATCTATCTATCTATCTATCTATCTATCTATCTATCTATCTATGTAAAGACATGAATATATTTATATCACCGTGATAGCTCCGTATCCCCTAAGCCACATTTCTCTCTCTGTCTGTGTTTTGCAGGCCGAACGAAATGGATGTCTCTCTCCGCGACCACTGAGTTGTGCAGTCGTTTTGGTCCCGCTCTGTTTCGTGAATTGTAAATTTGCTCTGCTCTTACGCTGAGTCGCATTCAATCATTCGTTAGCTCACCTTCCTGACTGAACGATTCGCTTCGATTGGACTTAGCTGTTTTTGGTTGTCTATCCGTAAGAGCATAACAAATACATGACACAGAAACGAGTCTTTGAATCCACACGCGCACACACACGCCCTCCACCCGTGATGCACAAAAAGCGCGGCGGAGGGTCGAGGTCAATTAACCCTCAGCTCTTTCTGCTTGTCAAAATGGTTATCTAAAAACTCACCTCTGCTACGCTGTCGTGAAAACGTTTGACTGAAAACCTTTGCTGTGTTCCTCTTTTCGCAGTACGGGGGGGCACTGGATCCGCAGGAGCGAAGAAAGAGGAAAAAACAAATAAAGTCGAAGTCTTGACACGCATCTACAAAAAGGATCGTAGAGCAGAGAGTAGAGTAAGTAGTCTATCTATCTATCTATCTATCTATAACGTTATATAGATAGATATATAGTTATATGCTTTTCTCTTTTTTATTTTTTTTTGTTTTTGTTTTCCTTCTTTACCCTGTCGTGAAAACGTTTGACTAAAAACCTCCGCTGTATTCTTCTGTTGCACAGACTCTTTTCGCAGCGAAGAAGGAGGAAATTCGTCTGTGAATCAACTTAGAGGAGAAAAAAGCGCTCTCCTGTACTGGCTGGCCTCTGCGGCTACAGCCGAAGACGATCTCGACCTCGAGACCTCGATCTCGAGAAAAAGGAGCGGACCGCGGCTGAGAGAGGACGACGATGAAACGCACGGCGCGCGGACGGAGACGCAGGGGTCGAGGATTCGTCTGCGAGTGGACAGAGAGGAGCAAGAAAAAGCGCTCTTCCCCGAGAGCTTCCTGCCTCTGCGGCTACATCTCCCCGGAGAGCGTCCGGCCTCTGCGCGATTATATATTAATATGTGTGTGTGTGTGTGTGTGTGACCTGTGTGTGTGTTTCTACACTGCCTGTGTATTGTTTTCTTTTTTGTTTGTTTGTTTGTTTGTTTGTTTTTTGTTTACAGTGCCCTCTGCACGACTGGCCATCCTGCGAGGAACAGTCACGTCGTCTCTGAGCCGACGTGTCTGTTCTTCTCTTCCGCCGAGCCAGTTGCGTTTCACCTTGAACAGTTCAGTCTGGTAGGTGAGCGGCCGGTTTCCGGGGAACGAGAAGAACGAATTCGTGGTTCTGAGACGACGCATCCCCGCTCCTCATATTTAGCCTTTGACGCACCGCGGGTCGACGGAGAGGAGCAAGAAAGTGCGACACAAAGCCGTCTCCCCCCCCCCCCGAGAGACGGTGGCCTCTGCGGCTACAGTCCAAGACCATCCCGAGGAGGGGGGACCATCCCGAGGAGGGGGGACCCTCCCCGACGACTGGCCATCCTGCGAGGAACGGTCACGTCGTCTCTGAGCAAACGTGTCTGTTCTTCTCTTCCGCCGAGCCGGTTACGTTTCACCTTGAACGGTTCAGTCTGGTAGGTGAGCGGCCGGTTTCGGGGGAACGAGAAGAACGAATTCGTGGTTCTGAGACGACACGTCCCCGCTCCTCATATTCAGCCTCTGATGCGCCGCGCGCCAACGGAAACCGGGGATCGAGGGGTTCGTCTGCAAATCGACGGAGAGGAGCGACACAAAGCCGTCTCCTCCCCCCCCTGAGAGACGGCGGCCTCTGCGGCTACAGTCCAAGACCATCCCGAGGAGGGGGGACCCTCCCCGACGACTGGCCATCCTGCGAGGAACAGTCACGTCGTCTCTGAGCAGACGTGTCTGTTCTTCTCTTCCGCCGAGCCGGTTGCGTTTCACCTTGAACAGTTCAGTCTGGTAGGTGAGCGGCCGGTTTCCGGGGAACGAGAAGAACGAATTCGAGGTTCTGAGACGACGCATCCCCGCTCCTCATATTCAGCCTCTGACGCACCGCGGGTCGACGGAGAGGAGCAAGAAAGTGCGACACAAAGCCGTCTCCTCCCCCCCCCGAGAGACGGTGGCCTCTGCGGCTACAGTCCAAGACCATCCCGAGGAGGGGGGACCATCCCGAGGAGGGGGGACCCTCCCCGACGACTGGCCATCCTGCGAGGAACGGTCACGTCGTCTCTGAGCAAACGTGTCTGTTCTTCTCTTCCGCCGAGCCGGTTACGTTTCACCTTGAACGGTTCAGTCTGGTAGGTGAGCGGCCGGTTTCGGGGGAACAAGAAGAACGAATTCGTGGTTCTGAGACGACGCGTCCCCGCTCCTCATATTCAGCCTCTGACGCGCCGCGGGTCGACTGTTCCGGCTGGCCTCCGCGGCTACCGCCACGAAGACATTCTCGACGAGGGAGAAAAGGCACGCGACTGCGGCTGAGCGTGTGGCGCGCGGATGGAGTCGGATGGAAGACGCCTGGGCTTTAGAGGTCAGATGTGTGTGTGTGTGTGTGTGTGTGTGTGTGTGTGTGTGTGTGTGTGTGTGTGTGTCACCTGTGCGTGTGTGTTTTCTACACTGCCTGTGTATTCTTTTTTTTGTTTGTTTTTTTGTTTGTTTTTTTGTTTACAGTGCCCTCTGCACGACTGGCCATCCTGCGAGGAACGGTCACGTCGTCTCTTAGCCTACGTGTCTGTTCTTCTCTTCCGCTTAGCCGGTTACGTTTCACCTTGAACGGTTCAGTCTGGTAGGTGAGCGGCCGGTTCGGGGAAACGAGAAGAACGAATTCGTGGTTCTGAGACGACGCGTCCCCGCTCCTCATATTCAGCCTCTGACGCGCCGCGCGCCGACGGAAACCGGGGATCGAGGGGTTCGTCTGCGAATCGACGGAGAGGAGCGACACAAAGCCGTCTCCTCCCCCCCGAGAGACGGCGGCCTCTGCAGCTACAGTCCAAGACCATCCCGAGGAGGGGGACCCTCCCCGACGACTGGCCATCCTGCGAGGAACAGTCACGTCGTCTCTTAGCCTACGTGTCTGTTCTTCTCTTCTGCTGAGCAGGTTACGTTTCACCTTGAACGGTTCAGTCTGGTAGGTGAGCGGCCGGTTCGGGGAAAGAAAGAACGAATTCGTGGCTCTGAGACGACGTGTCCCCGCTCCTCATATTCAGCCTCTGACACGCCGCAAGTCGACGGAGAGGAGCAAGAAAGTGCGCTCCCCCCCCCCCCGAAAGGGTCCGGCCTCAGCGCGTGGCGCCCGAGCGCATGGCACCCGAGCGCGTGGCGCGCGGACGGAGACGCGGGGTGGAGGATTCGTCTGCGAGTCGACGGTGAGGAGCAAGAAAGTGCGCTCTCCCGCCTCCCCGATGACTGGCCATCCTGCGAGGAACGGTCACGTCGTCGCTTAGCCTACGTGTCTGTTCTTCTCTTCCGCTGAGCCGGTTACGTTTCACCTTGAACAGTTCAGTCTGGTAGGTGAGCGGCCGGTTCGGAGAAAGAAAGAACGAATTCGTGGTTCTGAGACGACGCGTCCCCGCTCCTCATCTTCAGCCTCTGACGCGCTGCGAGTCGACGGAGAGGAGCAAGAAAGTGCGCTCTCCCCCCCCTCTCCGATAGGGTCCAGCCTCCACGCGTGGCGCCCGAGCGCGTGGCGCGTCCAAGACCATCCCGAGGAGGGGAAAACGCCAAAGGTTAGTTTCAAAAACGGAAAAACGCGGGACGGAGGATTCGTCTGCTAATCGACATGCGAAGAAAACCCCGACGCTCTCCTGCTCCTGTTCCGGCTTGCCTCCGCGGCTACCGCCACGAAGACATTCTCGACACGGGAGAAAAGGCGCGCGACTGCGGCTGAGCGTGTGGCGCGCATCCTGTGAGGAACGGACAGAGAGAGAGAGGGAAAGAAAGAGACAAAGGTTTCCCAGATTTTTTTTTATTTTTTTTTCTAAGAGCAGAAAATACTGTAAAGATGTCTCAACGCCAACAGAAAGAAAGTGTTTGTACATAAAAAGTGTTTTACAAATGAAAAAAAAAAAATATATATATATATATATATATATATATTTAAACATTATTTTATTTATTTATTTATTTTTAAAAAACTACACCTTGCTTCATCATAGTGTTTTTTTTTTTTTCTTTCCTCACTGCAGTGTCCAAGAATGGTGAGGCTGAGCGAAGAGGACAACACCTGGGCTCCAGAGGCACGAGTCGGCACCCCACCATAGGGAGTGAAACCACTGTATCACTCGGTCAGTTGTAAAACACAAAAGTTTGAATTGTATAATCGGCAGAGGTTGGAGAGCGTCGGAGTTGTCATGTCATCTCTAAGCCAACGTGTCTGTTCTTCTCTTCCACTGAACCGGTTGCGTTTTACTTTGCACAGTTCAGTCAGGAAGGTGAGTGGCTGGTTCGGAGTTAGAGAAGAACGAATTCGTGGTTCTGAGATGACGTGTCCCCGCTCCTCATATTTAGTCCTCTGACACAAAGACATCACAAAATGTGGACTCCATATCACTGACTGTGCTGACTCTGTGTGTGTGTGTGTGTGTGTGTGTGTGTGTGTGTGTGTTCCACACTGCCTGTGCAAGTTTCTCTTTTTGGTTTTACAGCGCTCTCTGCATGACCGGCCATACTGTGAGGGAAGAAGAGAGAAAGACACGAAGTTTCTCCAGATTTTTTTTGTATGTTTTATTTTTCAATTCTAAGAGCAGAAAATATTGTGAAGACGTCTGAACACCAAAAGAAAGAAAGTGTTTGTACATAAAAAGTGCTTTACAAATAAATTTTTTTCTTAAAAGTACGCCTGTCCAAGGCTTGGTGAGGTTTAGGGAAGAGGACAACGCCTGGGCTCCAGAGGCACGAGTCGGCATCCCACATGAAGCCAAAAAAGTCTCTATCACTCTGTCAGTTGTAAAACACCAAAGTGCAGTTGTATAGTCAGCAGAGGTTGGGGGGGTTGGGAGAGCGTTGGAGTTATATGTATATAACTCCGACGAGAGAAAGACACGCAAAGTTTCTCCAGATTTTTTTTTTGTACGTTTCATTTTTCAATTCTAAGAGCAGAAAATATTGTGTGAGTGTATGTATGAATATATGATCCTGTAAGGGATGATGAAAGAAATAGAGAGACCAAACTGTTTGCAATATTTCATATTACTTTTCCTCTGTTGATGTGTGGGTTCAAGGGCGGAAAATAGTGTTAGGATGCCGTCTGAACACCAATGAGACTATATGTTTTGTAAAAGAATAAAGTGCTATACAAATAAGATTAAAAAAAACAATGCATGCAATTCCCGATTGCCAAAAGAACAGTGCAGCGTGTGTCTGAATAGATTAAGTTTATAGCAAGTTTAGTCACATCTCCGTAAAACCGTACTACACCTGCATAAAACCTGTACGACTACCGATCCTTGTCCTATTACATTACATCACATCGCATTACAACAATAACTACTAAAACAACAACTACGATAATGAAAAAATAAAACAATACTGCGCTGCAGCCATGAGTCGAGAGTTTACCGCTTTGCAGGTCATGCAACAGATGTTGTCAAATGCATTCTCTGATGATGCCAATCCCGATGAAGAAGCAGAGGGTGTGTCTGAGGAGGAGGATTATGAGGCAAGTAACCAACCGAACAGGGAAGAGGAAGGAAAAGAAGATGAAATGATAATATCAGAAGACAGAGAGGAGCAAATGGAAAGAGAGGTAGAAGAGGACGGAGAGCATAAAGAAGAAGAAGGAGAAGAAGAAGATGAAGGAGAAGAATGCGTAACAGAAGACAGAGAGGAGCAAATGGAAGGAGAGGTAGAAGTGGAAGGAGAGCATAAAGAAGAAGAAGATGAAGGAGAAGAATGGGTAACAGAAGAAAGAGAGGAGCAAATGGAAAGAGGTAGAAGAGGAAGGAGAGCATTAAGAAGGAGAAGAAAATGAGGAAGGAGAAGAAGGGGTAACAGAAGAAAGAGGAGCAAATGGAAAGAGAGGGGGGAGAAGAAGAAGATGATGGAGAAGAAGAAAATGAGGAAGAAGATGAAGGAGAAGAAGGGGTAACAGAAGACAGAGAGGAGCAAATGGAAAGAGGGGGGAGAACAAGAAGAAGAAGAACAAAGGGTAATAGGAGGCGAGCGAGAGGAGCAAGCGAAAGAAGATACAGGAAGATACAGATGTGTTTTTTCTCTCAAAACACGACAAAATCATATGGTCCTCCGTAGCGTACGATAAACAAGAGCGGGGTAGAAAAGACAGGAGCGGTGAGGCTACGCCGCCGCCGTCCCCGCACATGCCGTCGTCGCCTTTACCGCTGACGACCGGCCCACCCGGACCGACTGAATATTCTCTCGTCCACGCCCGCGTCATCGCCTCCGCTTTTTTCATGTTCATCACCCCGTCGAGAGAACGCATCATCTTGGAGATGACTAATTTGGAGGGAAGACGGAAAATCGGAGACGGCTGGAAACGCATGGATGCCGTCGACCTTCGCGCCTACATGGGGCTGCTGCTTTTAGCCGGCGTCTACAGGTCCCGAGGCGAGGCGACCGCCAGTCTGTGGGACGCTGAGAGCGGACGGTCCATCTTCCGCGCCACGATGCCGCTGAAAGTGTTTCACGCCTACTCTAGACTGCTGAGATTCGAGACCCGCCAGACGCGCGGTCGACAAACTGGCGGCCGTAAGAGAGGTCTGGGACGCGTGGTCCGAGCGGCTGCCGTCCCTCTACAACCCCAGGCCGGAGATAACAGTGGACGAACAGCTGGTTCCGTTTAGAGGGTGTTGTCCCTTTCGGCAGTATATTCCCAGCAAGCCAGCGAAATACGGGATCAAGACGTGGGTGGCGTGCGACTCTAAATCCAGTTACGCTTGGAAGATGCAAGTGTACACAGGGAAGGCCGCAGCCGCAGACGCAGCTGCGGGCCACGGCCCGGAAAAGAACCTGGGCATGCGAGTCATGCTCAATGTCACCGAGGGACTGAGGGATCGCAACGTCACCTGCGACAATTTCTTCACCTCTTACGAACTCGGGCAGCAGCTGCTGAAAAGGAAGATGACCATGGTGGGCACCGTTCGAAAAAACAAGCCGGAGCTCCCCCTGGCCCTTCTCTCGCCGAAGGGACGAGCGGTGTTCTCGTCGAAATTTGCCTTCACGTCGACCACCGCCGCGGTCTCTTACGTGCCCAAGAAAAACAAAAACGTGCTGCTGGTTAGCATGAAGCACACGGAGGCCGAAGTCAGCGACCGCCGCGACAGAAAGCCGGTCATCATACTGGACTACAACCGCTGCAAAGGAGGTGTCGATAACCTCGACAAGGTGATCGGAACCTACAGCTGCAGAAGGATGACGGCTCGCTGGCCCCTGGTCGTGTTCCACAACATCCTCGACGTTTCCTCCTACAATGCCTTTGTGATATGGAGAGAACTAAACCCCGAATGGATGCCTCAGAAGCGGAACAAGAGAAGGGTGTTCCTAGAGCGGCTGGGAAAGGCGCTGGTGACTCCGTTGATAGAAAGAAGGGAGCGTCTCCCTCGCACAGAAGCGTCAGCGGCAGTCGTCCGAGTCGTTCGTAGCGCCGTGTCTAGATCTAGAACTCGCGGTGAGGGTGAGGGCGAGTTCGCTGGACCGAATTCGCTGGACCGAATTGCAGGAATCGTGGAAATCGTTTGTCGGTTGGCTGGGTGAGCGCTGGTGGGGCTCGGTGTCAGAAGAGTCCATCAGGACCTTCATGGATTCATCCGTCGCGTCGGGGATATCGTCGTCTCGGCGTGCTTCGGTGACACGCCCGGGGGAGTTTGTTCTTTCACAGTGAAGACCGAAAGTGGCCTGCTGTCACTTCCTTTGCTTATCCGTCGAAGACGCTACGTATACGCTGACTTGGCGGAAGGTGATTTTTCGTGTCCGATCAACATGTTGAGAAAGCTAGCCCGTGAAACCTACACACACTTGCTCCCCCGACCCACAACGATACCTTCCGATCCCCAGAACTTTTCTCTTACACAGGTAGTGGATGATATGTGGAGCGTTTTAGATTTGCTGAAAAGTGGATGGTGTGACGTTTCCCAACCCCATCGCATAATAGAGTATCTACAAAACAAGGAAGGACCCTCTGTTACGCCAGCGGCGTTAATTTGCTGCGTAGATGATGACAGTCCGGGATACCTGTTTGGGATTATAGATGCCAAGGGGAAGAGGCTGAAAGTAACATTTAATAAATGGGGCTTCACGTTTGGATCGGGTCTACATTTCTCCGGACTCACAAGTCTGCTGTCACATATCTGTGAGGTCGATGGAGTAAACTTTGTGATTAACTGTAGATTCTTGCTCACTGCGAGCGAACTGGAGCGTCCGATGTAAGACGTGTGTGTGTGTGGGGGGGGGGGGGGGGGTGTAAAGAGTTTGCGAACTTGTTTTTTACTTCAAGTGTTTGTATGAGCATGCTTCTATAGAAAGATTTAGGAAGAACTGCCGCTGAAATGTGCCTAAAAATGCATTATTATTATTATTATTATTATTACTATTATTATTATTATTATTATTATTATTATTATTATTATTAAAATGTGAATTCGTGCTGTAGCTTATGCTTGCTTACATATTCTTGCTTACTCAATAAAGATGCGAAAGCTGGCAATTTTGCTTCAGATGATAACTTTATTTGCGCGCATCACACCATAGATTGCAACACAACATTGTTTTATGGCTAAAAGTCATAATAGTAGCTGTACCAATCCTCAAAGGACATCTCGTCATTCATCATAAAATTCAACTTTGTCCTTCTGATCAAAACATCATTGCTCAACAGTGTGGTATCGGCTAGAGCTATCAGGTCATCTCTCGCCTCCCCTCCGTCTGCTCATTATTATTATTATTATTATTATTATTATTATTATTATTATTATTATTATTTATTATTATTATGATTATTATTATTATTATCATTATTATTATTACTATATGTGTGTGAGTATATATTTCCACATTGGGGACAGTGTGACCCCTAAGACGTGGGATGCAGGTTTTTTTTTTTTACTGTGTGAGGACTACAGGACTTTTCACCAGGTCAAAAAGACCCCAGTCAGTGCCCCAGTCAGTGTGACCCCTGAGACGTGGGATGCAGGTTTATTTTTTTATTTATTTTTATTTTTATTTTTATTACAATGTGAGGACTACAGGACCTTTCACTGGGTCAAAAAGACCCCAGTCAGTGCGGACTGGGACAGTGTGACCCTTGAGACATGGGATGTAGGTCTTAACTTTAGGACAACAGGAGGGTTAAAGAATTCTTCGAGGAACAGATTTTAAATATAGTGAATTGCTCTCTACAGACGGGTGTCGTCCCCACTGCCTATGAAAGAAGAAGAGCAATCTAGACCACAATGTTTTTTACAACTACCGGCCTGTATCTAATCTACCATTTTTAAGTAAAATCTTAGAAAAGGTAGTTTTTAACCAAGTGAATTATTTTTTAACTAAAAACAATATTTCTGAGAAATTTCAATCTGGCTTTAGGATGAACCACAGCACCGAGACGGCTCTTTTGAAGATTTTAAATGACACCAGATGTAATTTAGATACCAAAAAACTAACAGTCTTGGTCTACGGTATCAAAAGCAGCACTAAGATCCAGTAAGACCATCACATTTTCTTAAACAGACTGAAGCATTTGGTTGGCCTCTCTGGTATCGTTTTTAAGTGGTTCCACTCCTATCTCATGGATCGATCTTTCTTTGTAAATATGGATACATGTTCCCCCAGAACACATAAAATTAAGTGTGGGGTCCCCCAAGGGTCAATTTTAGGCCCACTTCTTTTTAATCTTTACACACTTCCTTTGGGGGATGTCATCAGGAGGCACGGCATCAGTTTCCACAGTTACGCTGATGATACGCAGTTGTACATTGCTGTGTCTCCTGATGACACAGGGCCAGTTGATGCCCTTTTTAACTGCATTTCAGATATCAAGTCATGGATGGCAGATAATTTCCTCCAACTCAACCAGAATAAAACAGAGGTTCTATTTCATCCCTTCTGACCGCCAGAGGCGGTGCTTTAAGCACTGAATGATTCCCTTCGCGCATGCGCAGTTCGAGCATTTGTACCAAAATAGTCACGCGTGCCCCCGTGATGAACCGGCAGAGGTTATTTATTCCGCCGGTCACCGAGGGTTCAGTCCCTTTTTCTCTCGCGCACAGGTCACAAACTTGCGATGAGAGGCATTTTTCTAACAAACCTACCTTAATCTGTGTGTGAAGTCGATGGTAGTCCCGTGGCCATAGGTCGGGGTAGCGAAATCGCCCTCCAGGGACTGTGACTTCCTTTGAGTTGTTTCCTTATCTCTGCTGTTTATCTCCGACTGAGCGGAGCTTCACTAACTTCCTTGGATGCTGTGGCATTCGCCTGGAAAGGAAGGGTTGTCATCCCCCTCTCCTCCGGACAAGGTAGGTTGCTGTTGCATTAAGCTTGTTTAGCGGACTTGCATTGTTTTACAAGTCACAACCTATGCTGGTAGAGGCCGTGTGCGCACCGTTTCCCCCCTGCATATGGTTGAGTACTGTGAATGTAAGCGGAATGCTTCGGTTACTTGCTGTAGCTAAAAGTCTGCTCGTTTCGTTCTTTTTGTTGAAAGAAAAAACCAAGGCCAAAGCTAGTTCTAAAAGAAGAAAGCTGGTACGCGGTGTCGCCATCCGGCCGCAGCCGACGCTATTGTTGTTGTAGTCGGCCTCAGTGGTGTAAGCGGTTAGAAGGCTGCCCCACTCTCCTTTGCTGTACTAAATCACCATTGTGTTGTATAGCTGTCTTTTGTTTTTTCAGTGACTATCAGTCCACTAGCGCTGGGCACGAGAAGTGCCCTTTTGAATAGCTTCGTATTTGTTTGGTGTCAGCCATTATTATAACCAGTTGCGTTAGCGCCCTGGTCACTTTGAGTGCTCTTTTGCTTAATAGCATTATTTTGTTGGCATTGACCATTAAAGCCAGTCATGTTAGCACCCTGGTCACTTTAAGTGCTCTTCTGTTTGCTGAATAGCCTTATTTATTTATTCATTTATTTGCTTATTTGGTTATTTATTTGGTTGATTTTATTACTGTCAGCTTAATTGCAACTCCGTACTGGTATAGGCAGCGTTCGCGCTCCCTCCCCCCAGTATAAGCAACCTTCCATCCGGCTAAAGCTAGCCTCCACTGGCGCAGGCAGCGTTCGCGCTCCCTCCCCCCAGCTCACGGCGTCCATTGCCCGGCTACCAGTAGCGTCAGTGCCCTGGTCTAGTTGGGACTGCTCGGTGCGATGGATAGCGCCCACTTCTGCTCTTCATGTCAGGTTGGCCTCCAGTCAGACGACGGACATGACCTCTGCCCAGCCTGCCTTGGACCCGAACAGCTCAGGGAGCCACATGAGGGGGACCCCTGCATGAACTGCAGCTACATGCCTCGGGCGGCAAGTCTGGACAGGCTGGCGGAGGTAGAGCCGCCACAGGGTGGTGACGACCTCCCCCCATTGGGCCAAGCATCCACGCCCACGCAGCCACTGCTGCCCCCGCTTCCAAAAGAACGTCGAGGTCTGACTGCTCCCGCCTTTCATCAAAGGTGGAGCAGCTCTCTGCCGAGCTGGATCGCATGAGGTCCATGCTTCAGGCCCACCAGTCTGGGTCCCCTTCGGAGGAGGCTCGGGGGGCCCACTCCGCCCATGCCACTCCTAGTCCCGGAGGAGGATACACTCTCCCTAGCGGCATCAGCTACTCACTTTCACGAGTATGGTGACCGTGATGGCAGCGAGAGAGATGGGGTCTCCCAGGTGTCCGATCAGGGCTCTCACTCCTCAGCTCAGACTTTGCTGCCAGAGGAGGACGGCTCCATGCGCGCCATCCCGCGGATGGCCTTGGAGCGATTAGGTCTGCCTATACCGCAGCAGGCGGAGCCAGCCCCTGTGAGCGCCTTCTTCAGGCGCAGGCCAACCTCCACTGCATTTGCCATCTTGCATGCAGAGGACTTTATAAAGGAGCTGCATGCCTGCTGGAGAGACTCCAAGGCTTGCTCCCGCGTCTCGGCAGATGGTCATACCCTGGCGGCAATGCACGACACTGCAGGGGTCGGCCTGGATCACATGCCAGCCATCGAGCCCAGCATTGCGTCCCTTATTGTCTTCCCCAACGAGGCTCTGCGACAGGATACTAGGTGTCCCCGTCAATAGTGCAGGCTGACGGACGACCTGCTCATCAGGGGCTACGATGCGGCAGCACATGCTGCTAGGATCGGGAACTCCCTGTCACACCTCCTGCTTGCCCTGTCAGCGTCTCTGCAGGAGGGCTATACTAACGGGGAACCTGGCACCTTCTGTGACGCAGCACTAGAGGCATTCGGCCTTATGTCGCGAGAACTTGGAAGGACAATGTCCTACCTGGTACAGGCTCGACGCCAGGTCTGCCTCTCCCAGTCAGGCTTGACTGAGGTGTCCAGGAAAACGCTCTGGGCTCTCCCTGTCGAGCCAGGAGCGGTTTTTGGCCCACGGGCTCAGGAGCGCTGGAGCAGACGTACCAGGCTGGGCAGACCAGGCAGCAGCTGCTGAGTATGCGCCGCATGCCACCCCCCAGCAGGCCTCCCTCTGGCAGGGGTAGGGGCCCCCCAGCTGCCTCTGGAGTCCGGCTGCCAGTAACTCACAGTAGGGGTCAGCTTCCTCAGCGGCCTACGCAGAGGCAGACCCGGGACTCTTGGGAGTCCGGCCGCCCTCCTTCTAGGCAGTTTCGAGCCACGGACCCTGGTAGACCCCCTGCTTCCAGGGCCCCTAGTGGCCGGGGGGGCAGACGCTGAGCCCGGGGGGCCGGCCGTCGGACATTTTACACAGCAGCAGCTCAGACACTAGGCTGCTCAAGCTTCAGACCCGTGGGTCTTACCACCTTAACCCACGGGTACAAGCTGCAGTTCCAACGCCGGCCCCCCACAGCCAGCCGGGTCAGGATTATCATCATTGCCGACCCGGCAAAAGCTCTTGCTCTCGACCAGGAGCTATCCGCCCTCCTGGCCAGGGGTGCCATCGAGGCAGTGGACCCGCTGCTGCATCCCAGGGGGTTCTACTCTACATACTTCCTTGTCACCAAAAAAAACGTCAGATGCCGGCCCATCCTGGACTTGAGGGGACTGAACAGGTACTTAAAGACCTTGCCTTTTCATATGCTGACTACAGCGGGGGTGCTACAGTCCATTGTCCGCAACGAATGGTTCACATCTGTCGACCTGAAAGATGCCTACTTTCATGTTCCCATTGCGAGGCAACACCGCCGGTTCCTGCGATTTGCCTACAGAGGCCGCCACTTGCAATTCCGTGTGCTCCCATTCGAGCTCTCCCTCTCCCCGAGAGTGTTCAGCAGGGTAGTGGCAACTCAGGGTAGTCCCAGGGCACCAAGATACTGCCATATCTGGACGATTGGTTGATCTGCGCTCTGTCCCAGGCGCAGGCAGCCAGGGAGACATGACACCTCCTGTCCCATATGGCGAGCCTCGGACTCAAGGTAAATGCAGAGAAAAGCTGCCTGTTACTGTCTCAGAGCGTAACCTTTATCATCACCTTTATCGGTCTGGCCCTACACACCAGAATGATGGTGGCACGTCCGTCCCCTAGTCGGGTGGACGGCATCTTAAGGCTGTTGCCAGCCTTCAAGAGAGGCAGGCGACTGCCGCTCCTCACCTTCCTCCGCCTCTTGGGCACGCTGACATCCATTGTGGCCGTCGTGCCGCTGGGCCTGCTGGCGCTACGGCCCCTGCAAAGGTGGCTGAACAGTTTCCACCTAGACCCAGAGCTACACAGGCACCAGAAGATTGTCATGTCACGGCAGTGCCTCCTTGCCCTAGCCACATGGAGGGACAGGGCCTACATTGTAAGGGGTGTCCCTATGGGGGCCGTCCCATCCCCAATCAGCCTATTAGGCTGGCCCAGTTTAGCCCTACACCGGGAGAGAGGACAGACAAGCTGGAACTGTTGTGCCCGGTGCGGGCCCTCAGGGCCTATATCGGAGCCACTGCACGTATTCACCGGTCGGATCATCTATTCGTGTGTTATGGTGGCCCAAATAAAGGCAGCGCTCTTTCAAAGCAGCGCCTGTCCCACTGGGTCATAGACACGATCAGCCACACCTATCAGGCTAGTAACCATCCCACGCCATCCAGGATACTGGATGACTCCAGGATACATGGGCTGCCCTTAGGGGAGTTCCCCTCGAGGAGATCTGCTCCGCTGCCTCGTGGGCGTCATCAGGCACGTTCTCAAGATTCTATAGGGTGAACGTGGCCACTCCCCACCCATTGGGTGTGGTTCTCCTTCCAGAGTCCTCCGATTCCACCCTCTGAGGTTTGTAATAGGGGTTCCTCGTGACTTTGCTGGTATAAGTCATTCAGTGCTTAAAGCACCGCCTCTGGCGGTCAGAAGGGATGAAATAGAACAAAAGTTACGTATGTAACTAAGGTTCTATGAATCCCGAATGACCGCCAGAGAACTTTGTCACTCAGAACACTTGTGTTCTCGCGAGAAAGTTCTGTAGGGACTGAACCCTCGGTGACCGGCGGAATAAATAACCTCTGCCGGTTCATCCCGGGGTCACGCGTGACTATTTTGGTACAAATGCTCGAACTGCGCATGCGCGAAGGGAGTCATTCAGTGCTTAAAGCACGGCCTCTGGCAGTCATTCGGGATTCATAGAACCTTAGTTACATACGTAACTTTCATTTTAGTCATTGGTCCTGAAGGCCTGAGAGAGAAACTTTTACCAAAACTACAAGATTTTAAACCCTCACAATGTGTTAAGAACCTGGGCGTTATTTTTGACTCTTAGCTCACTTTTATTCCTCACATTAAGGACATCACGAAGATAGGTTTTTACCATCTCAAGAATATAGCCAGAGTCCGCCCGTTTCTATCTCAGGCCAGCACGGAGGTGCTCATGCATTCCTTTATTTTGAGTCGCCTAGATTATTGTAATGCCCAGCTCTCTGGTCTTCCCAAAAAAAGCATTAGTAGCTTACAACTTCTACAAAACTCAGCCGCTCGTGTGCTGACGAGGACCAGAAGGCGGGAGCACATTACACCCGTTTTGAAATCACTGCATTGGCTCCCCGTCCGCTTCAGGATCGATTTTAAGATTCTTTTGCTGGTTTATAAATGTCTTAATAGTCTTGGGCCATCTTATTTATCTGACCTGCTTTTAGCATATCAGCCCTCGTGGACCCTGAGGTCCTCTGGTACCGGCCTTTTAACTGTCCCACGAACCACGACAAAGATGCAAAGTGAGGCTGCCTTCAGCCACTATGGCCCTTACCAGTGGAACAGCCTGCCAGAGACCCTCAGGGCCACAGAGACTGTTGATATTTTTAAAAAAAGGCTAAAGACACACCTTTTTAGTCTGGCGTTTAACTGATTTCATTTATTTATTTTATTTCTCCTGGAAAACAAAAGACACACAAAGGAACAGCACCTACCACAGGTAGGGAGCGTTAACCACAAAAAAAAAAATGTGCTAATGAAAAAAACAACAGAAAACATATGACCCCTGCATAACAATACTGTGTAAATGGAAGAAGCAAGACTGTGGGATTTTTTTGTGAAATTAGCTGCAAAGGTGAGGTTAGAATCAAACTGAACTCCAAGGTTTCTGACTGATAATTTGATATTTGATGAAAATGAACTTAGGCTGTCACTGATTACAGTCTCTCTTTAATTCATTTATGGACTCTGTTATCCAGGACGGTGTTGCCTCATTAGACTTTTTGTCTCTAAAAAGGGGCAACAGAGTCTCAGGCCTGAGGCTCAAGAAATTCTTATGCTCAATTCGCTATGACTGCTTTGAAAAATGCTGCTGTGCCATAATTCTGTCCCATAGCTATTGTATTCTTAAGCATATTCTCATTATAAATATGTGTACGGATGAAATTTAATCCTGTTCCACGATCATGTTTTGAGGGTAACCTATACTACACAAGCTTTGGAGGTGGGTAGGTTGCTTCATAGATTCTTGTTGCTGGTTCTGCTGTCCTTCCCCTGTAGGTGCTTTCATGTAGCTCATGAAAGCTGGGGAGGGTTACCTGGTACGGTTGTTCTGGGTGGCTTTTTTGCTGCTGTTTTCCCTGCCTCGGCTTTCATGTAGCACATAAAAGCTGGGAGAGTTGCCTGGTATGGTTGTTTAATTTAATTTTGACTAAAGTGATCCTGACTGAACAGTCTTTCCTGTGTCCCTTAAAACATTAAAAACCAAATTAAAATCTCCTTTAGTTTCCACAGACTCCAGACAGGATGTGTTGTTTGTTCCAACATGTAGGATTATTTTTGTGACTGAGAGGGGCAGTGAGGGGAGAAGGTGCAGAAGTTTGTCCAGAACGGTAGGGACTGTGGCACCAGGAAAACAGTGAGTGATGGTGTTGATGAAGCAGACGTTCCTGATGACTGAGTTTCCAATGATTAGGGTGCTGGGAGGGAAGAAAGGGCAAAGACATGAGTGGGGGATGTTGTAGCCACCGGATGGTAGACGGTCCTGCAGAGACTGCGCTGGCACTGACGGATCTGCTGTTGGTGCGGGTGTACAGCCTGTAGGGAAGCGGCTATGGTAGAAGCCTGACCAATTGGCCCAGATGGAGCGCGAGCAGGTGCGGAATCCACAACGTGGACTGAAGCCTTGTCTGTCAGGGCCATGAAGCAGTTAGAGAGTGACAGCTTAATGGGTTACAAAGTTCCTTACGGGAGTGAGAATTGGCGGGGTGCCATACGACACCGACGCATGCGCAATGAAGTCCTGCCTCTAACTTAAATATCACTCTTTGATTGGCTGCCAGTTTCTCGCTCACATACACGTGATTGGCTGTCTCTGCTGTCACCACATCTGCCTGTAAAAGTTACCTGCTAGTTGGACCAGTGTTGTGCCGCAGAATGCACATTCACATGTCTGACCATGTAGGTCCCAACCATGGAGGTCCCAAAGGGTGGTCCCAACACAAATGAACATTTCTTCTGATGTTTTACTTGCTTTAGCTTGAAATGCTGTAGGCTCACTTTTGCATTTATTGATTTTCTAGATGTACTTTTGCATGGAGTAACAACTTTGGATTTTGTGCAACAATTGCATTGATCTGCATTAGAACAGTTAGTTTTTCCAGGTTTTGTTATTTAGTTGTATTTTCTGTGTATTTGTTTCTAGTGTTGCTGTTAGCTGTTGTTCCTGTTTCTCAGTGTAACGTGCACACTTAAAAGAGGTGCATTGTTCTCCAGTTGGAGCAGGGATACCACAGGGTGAATTCCCGCTCCAATCATTTTTCTCTGGTGAGGATACACCCTGTGATATCCCCACTCCAACAGAACAATAACACACCTCTTTCACATGCACACCCAAAACATTCATGTTTTTTTGTTTTGTTTTCTCAATATCCCTTTAGGGGCTCCTTAATATGTCTGAATTAAAAAGAAAACCACAAAATATTTAAAAGAAATCTTAAAAATGGTCGCCATCTTGAAATTTCAAGCAATTAGGGGCAATTTCTTATGAAGTTACTCATGTGGAATGGTCTTACTAATTTTCATGTTTATATCACCAACTTTACATCATTTATCTGCTCTGATGAGGTGGCGGCCATCATCAAAATGGTGTCTCTTGAAATTTCAAGCAACTTGGGGCATTTTCTTGTTGAGCGACTCATGAGCTGTGTCCGAATTGCCTGCTTGCATACTACATACTACCCCCCGCAGGCAGAGAGTAGGTACTGCGCCCATGCAGACAGTGGTAACGGAAGACCCCCATCTGCTGGCCTAGCTGTAGTACTGCAGCGAGTACTGTACAATGATCGGTGCGCACCGGTGACTTATTAGGCATCATCACCAGAAGGCACCTGTTACTCATTAACAATGAGTGGAAATATAGTAGTGCCATCACGGAGGTGGCACATCTTCAGAGAAAAGCCAGCATGCTTGCAACTGCATTGATGCTGCTCCACATAGAAAGTGCAAGGCTTGCCGCCGCCTTGCACTTTCTATGTGGAGATTCCTGAGCTGTGTCCGAATTGCCAAGTAGTAGTCGAAGTAGTATGTAGCATGTCCGAATTGGCCACCGGAGCGAGTAGCATGCTACTTCAGATACTACTTCAGATACTCGACACGCCCACATTGTAGGTTGGTCGCGGTGCATCCTACGGGCATGCTACTGACCCAAAATGCACTGCGGGCTTCTTCTTCGTCCTCTTAAAAGTTGTAGAAGCGCATGTGATGCTAGCGCCACCAGCTGCTCTGCCTATTTAAATGTGTCACAAACGCCGGCTGGCCACAGCAGCGCGCACCATGGCGGAAGCAGGGGGCAGGACCGCAGCAGTACAGATGTAATTTTAATGTAACTTCACACACTGTCCTAAAAAATGTACGGTTGTATCTCTTTGTCATGTCATGGTGTCATATTTGCCCAAGTAATCATTTTATGAGCAAATATGTGGCGACATCATGGAGGTAAAGCTCACTTATTCCATCATTAAACTGTGCAGCTGCACGAATCAGGCAGATCTCATTGAACAAACAATCACCACTTGAGTGAATGAAGGCTAAAAGTAATGGAAAAGCTACTTTGTGAATTTGTAAAGCAGTGCAGGAATATAATACAGCAGCATCCATCACTTGCACAATTACCATTCAAATAGTCTAAAACGGGCGCAGTACCTACTCTCTGCCTGCGGGGGTCGTCTTTCCCCACCGCTCGTCTAGTGTGTCCAAATTGGGCCAACGTGTTTAGTATGTAGGAGTAGGATCTAGCAGTAGCACGTAGCAATAGCATGTAGTATGCGAGCGGGCGATTCGGACACAGCACTGGAGTCACTGCCACAGGTAACCTATGACATGAAGTGCTTGAACTAGAAGCTCTGTATTTCTTGTTACTAGTCTTTTCTGGTGTTTGTCCAGACACCGCAAAAGGAACTCTGTTCTACACATGACATTATGTGGTTTCTTTGATTTTTCAGCATGGCCCACGCAGGCCATACACTCTGCTCAACAGCACCGGGCCCATCATTCGTCAGTTTTTGGATGACACCGTTGACCTGCGCCCCAACCTTCGCCTCTCTCGTCACTTGCTTACTGCCCTTACTGCTGCCATCGACCTCAGCGTGACCCGAGGCTGGCCAAAGGACATAGAGGTGCTGCTGTTCGTTTTTTGGCTGGCCCATGCAGCGTCCTACAGGAGGGTGGCTGCAGCCTGCGACATCCCTAAGTCCACTGTTCACGATATTGCGCACAGGGTGACCAAGGCTGTCCTGGGCATCCTGGACCGCACCATCCGCCTCCCCAACCCTGACCAGCTGGAGGACATCGCTGCTGGCTTCAGCCGCCTCGGGGGAAGTCCAGCTCTGCGGACCGTGGTCGGGGCAATTGATGGCTGCCACGTCCGCATCAAACCGTAAGCTCTTCCATTCTATTCAGCTCCAGGCCGTCTGTGACCACCAGGGGAGGTTTCTTGATTTGTTTGTGGGCTTCCCTGGCTCTGTTCACGATGCCGGTGTACTGCGGAACAGCCCGGTCTACTACAGACAGCTGTACCCACCGGAGGGCTGGTGCATCCTGGGGGATGGAGGCTACCCCTGTTTGGGTGCCCCCATCTGCCTCCTGATGCCTTACCGGGAACCTGTGGCCAACCCCGTGCAGGCCCGGTTCAACACCATTCGCAGCAAGGCACGGAACGTTATCGAGCGGGCCTTCGGAATGATGAAGGCTTGTTGGTGGTCCATCTTCCTCAGGGCCCTTGTGGTGAAGCCAGCATTTGCATCGGAGGTGGTCACCTGTTGTGCCATCCTCCACAACATCTGCATGGACAACGGTGACCTCTTCGAGGCCGAGCCTCCCCCTGAGGAAGATGGACCGCCTCCCTGTTCTGATGTGGCGTCAGGGGAAAACCTGCGGAACCGACTGGCTGCAGCAGTGTCTGCCCCAGAGGTTGCGGTTGCTGTCCTCCAGGACCATGATTATTGTTGATTGTTGTTTTGTTTTTGTTGTTGCTGCTACCTTTCTGTCCTTTCGCCAGTCTCGGGTCCACTTTGTTGTCAATGGCAGCAGTGAGAGCAGCAAAAGTGTAATGTTAGAGGCGAAGGTTGGAGTGCAGGTTAATTATGTCATCCAAAAACTGCAGAATGCTGGGCACGGTGCTGTTGACACTGTCTTTTGGTATATTTGTTTCCTTTAAATGTGCGGCCTCAAATAGGGCAATTACTTATGTTGTGTTTCAGTTCTGTATGATTCATTTCTGTTTTGTATGATTAAATATTTTTTGGGGAAAAATGCTCCTGACACTGGTGTGGTTCTTGATGACCCGAAACATGAAATACACTGAGAGAAGTCCATCTGCTTAGGTCAGATCTGCTAATCACCTCCATCAACCTTTATAACACAGAGATACAATTGACACATCACATTGCTTGGACCAAACCATTTTATTCTAGAGAAGTTTTGCCATAGAATGATGCTGTGTGTGGCATGTTTCCTAACAGCATATATCACCCTGACTAGTTTCACTGATTGTTGACTCACCTGAGGCACTAACAACACACCAACAAATGTTGAAGACCCTCCCAGGGCTTGGAGCCAGTAGGCTTCAAACTCCTTTCTTTATTTTTTATGACTCACAGAGGTTAACTACTCTCCTGTCCCCACCAGCATTTAAAACTGAAGAAGCTCAGACTTTCATTCTCTTATTACAGAGGCGAACAAAGACATGGAACAAATTATTAAATGGTTCCAAGCAAACAAGCTTTCCCTAAACGTAGAAAAGACAAATTTTATTGTCTTTAGCCGCAATAAAAAGTATTGTAAAAATTCATGTGAAATTATTATAAACAAAAGAAAATAACAGTTCTCGTTGATGAGAAAATCAGCTGGAAAGAATAAATCAACCTTGTTTGTAACAAAGTGGTAAGATCATTTGGTGTCATCAGAAAAATATACCAAGAATGTCTGCTTACCTTATGTTTCAGTCTCATCTATCCTCACCTAACTTATTGCAATATTGTCTGGGCCAGTACGTATAACTCATATCTACACAGCATTTATATCCTTCAGTGTAAGGATGCCTAGCCCATGTTCAAACATTAAAAAATGGAAGGTCCACACGAATCATCATTTTGACAAGCTTTACTGGTTACAGATCTGGGTTACAGCTTCATCATGCCACAAGTGTAGCAAAGTGTAACAGAAGCATGACAGAAGCGTAACAAAGACTGGTCTGAGACCGCTCAAGTACATATAGTCGTTCATGTTTCTAAACACCTACATCAACATTCCTCTTTACCACACTAGTCAAGGTCAGTTTTCCCTGAAATACAGAGGTACTACTCTCTATGATAAACAGTCAAAGGGTTTAAAACTGTCATCCTTGAATGTATGCTAAAACAGGTTGAAGGATTTATCAAATCAAATCAAACTTTATTTTTATAGCACCTTTCATACAAGCTGCAACACAAGGTTACTGATTAACCACTAATTTTTTCAATGTCTTTTAAGGTATTTCTCTGTTACCAGAATCTATTTTTACAAGCCAACTATATATTTTTAAAATTTTCCTACTATTAATGTATGCTCTTAAAATTGTATGTTCTACATAGGTAGAGGCCTCACATAAGCCCTGTGGGCTTCTTTGCCTCTCCCTGGCACTTTATTTTCTATGTTTTACTCTATTGTTACAATAGTATTGTCCTTTTAACAAATGTGCTAAATCAAATAAAATCAAATCAAGCTTCTTTGATGAGAGGCTAATCGTCTTCAGGAAAACTCATGGTGCCATAACAGAAACATTTAAGAACAAAAAACCGTAACATTTAAAAAGTTGGGCCCCCTACTCAAACATAAAGCAATCGCCTACATTAAACATACACAAACTGAAATCCTCTAACACAAAACTCCTACTGCCTCCTGGCCAGCAGGTCCAAGATGTTTAAAAAGCGCTCGTCCCTCTCCCGAGCCTCCCTGTCCCTTCTGTCCTCCCTCTCCTGTCTTTCCCTCTCTCTTCCTTCTTCCCTTTCCCTCCTTTCCCTCTCTCTTCCTTCTTCCCTTTCCCCGTCTCTTCTCTCCTCTCTGTCCATCCACTCCCTCCACCTCCTCTCCTCCCTGGCTTCAGCCTCCCTCTCCTGCTCCTCCAATCTGGCCTCCACCTCCTGCCACATGTCCTCTAACGCTGGCCTCCTCCTCCTCCTCCTCCTCGATAGAGAGCTGCCCTGGCCCCGAGGGTTGGCGGGTGGTGAGGTGGAGCGTGGAGCAGCGGTGGAGGAGGAAGCCTCTGTGGACGTGGAGGGCTGTGTGGTGGAGCTGGAGGGCTGTGTGGTGGAGCTGGAGGTTGATGGGGAGCTGCAGGGTGTTTCTGCAGGCGTCACCGTGGCTGAGGGCGGTGAGGATACAGCAGCATCCTGGCCAGCTGATGCTATGAGGCATGGTGGCGTGATGTCGGGCCGCTCCCCTAAAGCCTCATCCATCAGCTCGAACCATGGCCAGGATGCCGCTGTATCCTCACCACCCTCAGTGCTGACGCCTGTCTTGGGAACCTTCAGTCTCTGTAGGACATGAGAGTATCAAGATTAACCTTCATAATTAACAGGAGGATTGACTGTTGATGGCAGATGTTGGCCCAACATCTGGGCGATATTTGTCTTTCAGCTTGTCCCATTTTTTTGTGGCACTCTCAGCCGTGATGTGCGGCGGGAGGCTGGGGCTGTCCTGCAAGAACCTCCTGAAGGCCAAACACAGTGTATTGTGAGGTAACAATTAGACACACGTATTGTATGAAGAATCATGAAACATATGAATGGCTTGACTTACTCAAATGCCTTCCTGGCTGTATTTCTGTGCCCGGTGAACAGGTGGTCATGGCTGAGCTGCCACCTGATTAAATGTTCAGTCTGCTTGTCCGTCCCTGAGAAATACACATGCTACTGGAATGAACAAACCTTGGCTATAAGTGGTAGAAAACAGAAAGCTGATGAATGTTTGGGTCTGCTCTCTGTCCCCTCCAAGTCATGTTACAGTTTTAGACTCTTTGAATGGTAATTGTGCAAGTGATGGATGCTGCTGTATTTTATTCCTGCACTGCTTTACAAATTCACAAAGTAGCTTTTCCGTGACTTTTAGCCTTCATTCACTCACGTGGTGATCGTTTGTTCAATGAGATCTGCCTGATTACTGCAGCTGTGCAGTTTAATGATGGAATAAGTGAGCTTTACCTCCATGATGTCGCCACATATTTGCTCATAAAATGATTACTTGGGCAAATATGACACCATGACATGACAAAGAGATACAACCGCATATTTTTTAGGACAGTGTGTGAAGTTACATGAAACTTAAACCTGTACTGCTGCGGTCCCGCCTGCTGCTGCTGCTCCGACATGGTGCGCTGCTGTGGCCAGCCGGCATTCGTGACGCATCTAAATAGGCAGCAGCTGGTGGCGCTAGCATCACATGCGCTTCTACAACTTTTAGGAGGACGAAGAAGAAGCCCGTGGTGCATTTTGGGTCAGTAGCATGCCCGTAGGATGCACCGCGACCAACCTACAATGTGGGCGTGTCTAGTAGCTGAAGTAGTATCTGAAGTAGCATGCTACTCACTCCGGTGGCCAATTCGGACATGCTAGATACTACTTCGACTACTACTTTGACTACTACTTGGCAATTCGGACACAGCTATGGAGACTGTTCATACCAATTTTCATGCCTATATAACCAACTTAACAAGGACATCACCTAATTGTTGCACTTAGGTGGAGGCCATCTTGAAAAATGGCCGCCATCTTGAAATTTCAAATGGCTAGGACGCTTTTCTAGTCAAGTGACCCATGGGGAATGCTCATGCCAATTTTCATGCTTGTGTCACCAACTAAACAATTCTGGCTAAAATTTGTGCTTGGCCGCCGCACTAATCCACAGAGCCCACTGGAATATTGGGAAAAATAAAAAAATGCTTTGGCTAGCCCTAACTTTCTTGTGTACCCCAGCCTCATCTGTGCCTTGTGAAGGAATCTTCTCCAAAGCTGGTACAATAATTTCTATAAAAAAGAAAGCACCTTCATCCAAGGGCTTTGGAAAAGTCCTTGTTTTTAAATAAAAATGAAAAAAATGTTTGTTTCAAATTGTCCTCGGTAACATAAGCAAAGTCACAAACCAAGTAACACATTCACATGACAACCCTCTTCGTAATTTATGTCCTCTTCCCCTTTTGACCGTGCTACTTTGTCATAAGCTTTGACCCATGAGTAAAGCAATTGGATGGAAAGCTTCATGAGGTGTCATCACTCTCACTGAAAGGAAATGACAAACTAAAAAAACTGAGGGAATAGATGCCTCTGATTCTAATTTGCACGCAGGCTACGGTTTACAACAGTGGACATTTTTTTAAGGACATGAACAATTACGTTCTGGCAACAGCCTGCTGCCAGCCTCCCACCTATATAACCTGCTGACTGCTAATCTGCATCAGCTGCACTCAGCAAGCGCTCAATGAAACAGTGAGCACACAGGTGCTGCATCTGTGGTCGTTAGGGGAAGGAGAAACTCAAAACACACAGGCCGACAGGCAAACCAAAATCATGACAGAAGCAGCCATTGTCTTTTAATCCACAAATCACAAATGAAGGGGGCACACATTTTAAAACAGGTTGATGTTGAGAGCAGGATTTAGACAGATAAGAGATTTAGTTTATGAATATGGCACAAGTGATACATGAGATAACGGAAAAGGGGGAGGAAATGTGGCTTGGCACGGCAGAAGGAATGTTGGAGAAAATAAAAAAGGGAACACTGAAGGACTAGGTGAGACGGATTGAGACTACGTTTACACATGCCCAGCTATTTTCATTATCAGACATTTCATCCTCTCTATTTACAAAAAAAAAACCTGCATGCACACCACTATGTTTTCAGAAAAGTTTTCGTTTACACTACCCCTGTATATATGCTGACATTCAGAAATTTTTACACCACTCCTCCAACAGAAC